GCAACAAGGCCCGCGTAACGCTGAATGGGGACATTTGCATCGAGGTATTGCAGGTACTTGGACTGGATCTGGCGTTTCTTTGCTTCTACCCGAGCACGTAGATCGTGCAGCGTAATGTGCTTGCGATCCATTTCGATTCTACCGCGGAAGATGAGACGATGAATCTCATTGCACTCATACCTGATGAGCGATAACGTTACGTCTGTCCAGCCATTTCTCGAAGTAGGATTCTGCTGCCAGCTCGAACTGCCAAACTCAAAGACGTCATCGTCGACGTTCAACGGCAAGGCAATGTCAAAATCGTCTGATCGGATAGATGGATGGGGACCTTGGGCCTCTGCCGTCTTGAAATCCAAGAAACATATCTGGTACCATAATAAGGATCGAACGTGCCGTTGAAGAGGAGTTAGGCTGTTGGCTGAACTATGGCTCATACGATGGATACCTATGCATTGTGCTAAGCGAACAAGTGCGCCCACTACAACAGACGTCGCCCGAGATATCTGGGCTCGACAAAGTGGTATCTATCATTGTCAACAAACGTTCGACGCTGCAGTTACAGATCAACGACATACCAAGTAAATGGTCAAAGCTTGCAAAGTGCGTATGTTGGACGTCTTGGCCCAATTGGCGCGTAGCAGCGCTCGTTCCGTGGCCTTTTGCAGCCTCAAGAACAAATCTTCTTTTGTGATGCCAAACTGCGACTTTGCCTGTAAAGGCGAAACGGATGCAGCTGCGGCCATGCATACGGCCAGAATCAAAGCAGTACACGAGTTCTGGTTCGGGTTGCCAATCTCAAGATTCATCCAGAAGCGCTCAAACAGGCGCTTGAAGGATGGCAGATGCAGAACATGGGCGAGCGGACTGACTGCCTGGGCATATCGCTGGAACAAGGCGTCTGCCTCCATCTTGGTTGGTAGCTGTGGAGGATCTACATCGTCGTGCTGATGAAGAGACAATGAGCCACCTAGTAGCAAGTTCAAGGAGGGAGCAAGTGAGGGCATCTGCTCGGCTGATAAGAGGGCCGATGACTGTGTTGCCCGCTGGCCTGCGACTGATGAAGACTGGGTGAAGCCCTCGGACAAAAGCTTGCCAAGCTGCACAGCATTTCAGTTTGTGTTCAGGAAGCAGAAAAAGGAGCAAAAAAAAACAGAAAGAGGTAGACAATACCTCTTCAGCATACTGGGGACGGAAGAAGCCAGTGACATTTTCGCAGATGATCATCCTCCCGATGCGAATGGTGAGATCGGTGGCGATCTGGTCCTCGTCGTCGTTTTCATCCTCGTAGACGTCGTCCTGCGTCTCCTCGGGCTCTGCGGGCAGACGCTCCCAGGCGTCTGTCTCGGGCTCGACATCCTGCTGGTAGGCCTCCCACTCGTAGTCTCGCGGCGGAGTGCCGGGGGTGGTGGTGTCGACGGAATTTGCGTTTTCATGGCCGTCGGGCAGGCTTGCACTACTTTGGGTGCGCACGGGGAGGTTCTTTGTCCAGTCTGGGACGGTGACGGCGGCAGCAGCCTTGCTCTGGGCGCGCTCGCGCTGCTCCCTCTCTTTCTTGCGCGCCACGCTCTCAGGGACGGTGATGAAGACACACTCGCGGCCAAAGGCGGTGCAGTTTTGGCAGGGGTGCGTCTTTGAGCATCGCGACTTACGTGTGCGGCACTCGACGCACGAGTTGATGGGGCGTGGATTTCTCCGGCGGACCACACGAGACTGCAAGACCTGTGCTTGTTCTGGCATGTCTCACGATCGTCATGTTTGCGCCATGGGGTCGGGGGTGGGAGGGTGGCTGAGGTGATGGAGAGGAGAGGAGTCGGGAGTCGGCCCGCCGTCGACCCCGGCCGTCGTGTGTGTGTGTTCGTTCAGCCTTGTCGGACGACTGACCTGCCCGGCTGCGACAGGCCAAGAGCAGACTTTTCGCCGCCTTGTGCGCCCATGCAAGGTACCAGCCAGGCGAACACCAGGCTTGCACCCCTCGACACCCTCCTTAGTCTACACCCGACCCTCTGCATGGCGCCGCCGCGCGACCGCCCATGCACTCAGACGCCCTCGTGCGTGCTTCACTTGACTGCGGGGCACGCCTCATCGCCAGGCGCGCCGGCATGGCATCTGTTGGGCACCGCTGTCGGCCTAGACATGCATGCGGCATCCATACTACGTCCTAGGGACAGACATACATACATACATACATGCATACATACATACATAGGCCGGCTCCTCCTACCGCTCGCCTCAACGCCAGACGCCATGATCCTTGCCGGCCCAGCCCAATAGTACATGCTGCTTTTATCGCGCAAACCCAGCCCAACGCTGTCCTTGCAGCCGACGGCCTGCCCTCCATCATCTCCCCAGCTCGCGCTTGATCCGCGCCGCAGCTGATGTCGGAGCCGGCTCAGGCCACGAGTCGACAGCATCCTCGACTTCCTCCAAGAACGACGTGCTGTTGTGCACCGTCGTGCCCCCAAGCACAACGCGAACCCCCGGCGAGCTGGCATTGACCTGCGCCACCATCTTGGCCTCTTCATATGTCGTCCCCCCTACCATGAAGATGATGATGTCCTGCGGCTTGTCCTTGGTCGACCCCCCACCCTCCACAAACGGGTACACTTGCTGGCTCAAGCGGCCTTTGATCAGGTCCTGCAGCGTCGCTTCCAAGCGGGGCGAGTGCTGCGTGTAGACATTCTCCACGCCCTTTAGGCCTTTTAGTCGGTCTCGTGCACCGCCAAAGAAGGAGCCGGCCTGGAACAAATCAGGGACGCCCCCCGCCCCAGTCGTGACTTGCAGCGAGTCGTGATAAGCCATGAGCTTTGTGATCACGTTGATGCGCTGCCGCGACAGGCCTCCCGCGACAGCAAGCAGATCGAGCAGCATAGCTGTCGAGTTGGAAGACGTCTTGGAATACCGCAACGCGTAAATGGCAACAAGCCGCAGCTTGTTGTTGGCTGGCACATTCGGATCCTGTATTATCTTCTGTAGTGACTTGACGTCGTTGGAATGGTTGTCTGTGCATGCCAGACTTTGCTCCAGCTCACTAATGTCCAGTAGACTCTCCTCTCCAACCCGCCTGCTCAGCTCTCCAACCAGTGTGACGTGTTTTGTGACATTACTCGAGAGCTTGCGGAACTCTGGAAAGTCTTCGATGAAGCGCTTCATATCTGCTATAGAGTCGAGCTTCTGAGACCCTTGCTGCTTGGATGCAAACTGCTCGACATACTCCTTGGCGTTCTGACCCAAATCACCAAAGTTGAGATACATGTTCTTTTTGAAAAAGGGGTCTTGTTCTTGCGATAGCACGATTTCCTTGAGCTCGGGCCGTATGTCCGGCACGTCGCGCAAGTCAACCCTTCCGTTGTGTATGCCGAGCAGTTCGTGTACCATTGCCTGGTACGTCCATTGCGTCAGCAGTGGTGTGACGGGGTCGTCCCTCCGGTCGACTATCAGGAGAATGGGCGGTGTGTCTGTCTTGCGGAAATCGAACAACTGATCCTCTTGGGTCATGTGGTATCGGACCTCGGTCGCTAGCTTCTTCACAAGCAGACTGTTCTTTTGATACCTGATCAACGGCTTCTTCTTGAGCGCCAATAGAAGTGCCATGACAGCCTCCGTTGATCGCTGTAACGAATCTTGGTTCCAGGCATCTGGGCTGGTGCTCCATATGCGGTGGTCGGGAAAGCCGAGGCCAAGGGACATTAGATCGGGGTTGATTACGAGGAAGTCTGCGAAATATTCCTGGACAGCACGTACAACCTCATGGTCGTCTGCTTCGGCAAGACGCTCGAGAGAGGACTTCTTGATAATGTTGCTAAAGTCTATTGGTGTCAACAATTGCCCCGTGGGCTTGGGCCCCACGTAGGAAACGCACATATATTGTATTCGCCGTACTTGGGTTCTCGCAGCTCTTCGATCAGGCTCTGGATGGACTCGGGCGAGGGCCGTACGAAGCATAAGCAGCGGAGATGTCGCATCTTCTCGCGATTCTGGTTGTCCAGACGGCTACCGCAGCATTAGCCATGTATCGCGTCATGGGTCGTGGGGGAGCGGTACTCGGTAAGGTAGACCTCATGGTTGAGGAGGGCGGACTGCGTCGTCGCTGTGGACAGAATCGAGACCTATGCCATGTAAGCTTCTACCACGCAGCTACTCGGCAGAGCAGACAAACCCACAGTCTCGTTGTCGAGCAGGAGGATCTTCATCTTGGCCGCGGAGGTGCCGGTTGCCGCACTGTCCCCGGCTGACACCATCTTGGTGATATAGCCGGAGACGGCCTGAATGACGTCCATGAGGGCGAGTGCTTGTTCTTCGCGGTTTAAAGAGGCTCTGATTAATCTTCACGTCGCCGTTTAGCAAAGTCGTGGTGTTGCACGCTCTTCCATGGTGACGCGGTTGTGGCTCAAGCTAGGACGTGGCTTGAGCGCAACCCCTCAGGTACGTAGGTACGTATAATACAGTACAGGACTCAGTACACTATGCATGGACACTGCAGCCAACGACCCCCACCAACATCCCCTTCGGCATTCTCTCGGACCACAGAACAAGTACATGGAAGTCCCTAGAAACAGAATCTGTTTTTTGCGTCATATCATGCATTGCGCGATCTCTTCTTGGGATAGAATGCACCTTGGACAAGGTGTACGCAAGCAGGCGTAGTAGACCCCACCACCACATTGCATTGGGCACTTCACTGCCATCATGGGACACTACCATTCCATCTCCTCCTGTCTCCATATCTCCCCCACGGAGGATTTGATATGCATGCAGACCAAGATATTACAAAGACACCAGGTGCATTTTTTCAGCTGTAGGTACGTAGTAAGCAAATTGCTCGTAATCTGCTTGATAATCAACGAGGAGTTCACGCTAGAAACCCACGAATCGGTGACGTCCAAGAAAGCTATATAAGCCTGACTGCAACATGAATTCATCAACACACATCCAATACCTACATCCATCCTCCTCCTTTGATACTTGCCTTACACGGTACAAGCACTACAGAGCTATTCAACATGCCAAAACTCTTCATGTATTTACCATGCTCGTGAGCTTGACATGAAATGCGTACTGACAAACCTCAAGCACTGGCGCAACCGGCTACATTGGAGGCGACGCCCTCTATGCCATTGCAAACACCTACCCTGATCTCGAGATTACCGCCCTAGTCCGCAATAGCGACAAAGGCGCCAAAGTCGCTGCACAATACCCCAAGACTCGCCTCGTCTATGGTACGCTAGACAGCACTGATCTCCTTTCCGAGGAAGCTTCCAATGCAGACATTGTTCTTCATTGTGCTGATTGCGACCACCTGGCTTCTGCCCAGGCACTGGTTGCTGGCCTTGCTCGCAGTGGGCGAAAGTCGTATCTCATCCACACCTCTGGCACCGGCATCCTTTCATTTGCCGATTTTGGAGAGAATACGTACGGTATTACCCGAGAAAAGGTCTTTGATGATTGGGACAATATCACTGAAGTTACTTCACTCCCGGATACCGCTGTCCATCGCAACGTTGACAAGGTTATCCTGGGATCCCACGAGGCATCGTCGGGCAACATCCAATCGGCCATTGTTTGCCCTCCCTGTATCTATGGACCAGGGCGCGGTCCTGACAACAAGCGCAGTGTGCAAGCGTACGACATGACTGCGGCCACATTGAAACGAATGAAAGGTTTCGTCGTAGGAGAGGGAAAGAATCGATGGACCCAGGTGCACGTCCAAGATCTCAGCGAACTATTTCTCGCTCTTGTAACAGCGGCTCTGTCGCCTGATGGCGGCAAGGCCACCTGGAACCAGGAAGGATACTACTTTGCAGAGAACGGAGAATTCTGCTGGGGTGACATCGGACGCAAGATTGCCGACATTGCCTTCAAGAACAAACTCATCAACCATGAAGGAATTGATAATGTGAGCAAAGAAGAAGCGGATCAAATGAGACCATTCGGTAGTTACCTCTGGGGCACCAACTCCCGTTGCAAGGCTATCAGAGCTAAGAAGCTGCTTGGATGGACGCCTAAACAAAAGAGTCTCTTTGACCTCTTGCCAGAGATTATCGATGATGAAGCCAAGCTGCTGGGTCGTACCCGGCAGCACGCTGAGGAGGCGGCTGAAGGGCGCATTCTAAAGTAGATGTAACTAGTGCAGAATAGTCGAAATTGTTCAAGTTCTCAAGACTTTAGTTTCGGTTAGGTGAGTGTGTCTAGCGTACTCGCATTCCCACTACGACTCCTCACCATGACATGAGCCTCGGCAAAGCCGTTCGAACTTACGTCATGCATTTCAACCTCCAAATGTTGTGTCTTCTCCAACCTCTTGAATCTGGATCCCCGCAACTTCATTTGTGCACATGTAATATTTGAAGCTATTCTTAACAAACACATACATATGTATCAAAATGCCTCTCTGCACGCTACACTTACTCGCGCTCCACACCACACCAAATTCCGTCTTAACATTTCTTTCCACGCTCAAAGCAACCGATGTCTCGCCTCTAGTCGTATCCCGTGTCGTCCGCTGGATCATTCTCCCAACTAAGCTCTCAACCGAACACCTTCTCGCTCGAAACATCCACTGGGACCTCCTCCTCGTTTTGCCCTCCACAGACGTTCTGCCATCAAATCTCACCAACCTTATCGAGCATCACTGGAGCGTAACAGCCGGTGTACCCTCGCGCTTAGTAAACAACTTCGCCTCAAAGAACACCAAACTTCTACACCCAGATCCCCAGACTGTACCCATGCTTCAGCAAGATGTTAACGAGAAAACGACGCAATCGAGCCAAAGTTTGGAACTGAGCGACGAATTGAATATGTGGATTCAATCCTTTGTAAACAGCGATTCCAAAGAAGCCAAAGGTGCAGTCTCAATGTTCAATCTGCTTGCTTTCAACCCTGGCATGAAAGAGGAATATCTCAAGTACGGCTCTGCGTTTGCACGTTCCATTGGTTCCAGGCATGGCGGAGACGCAAAGATAGTCGGAAATGTCACACATGTCAATGGCGAACCCATCAACAGAATATCCGCAGGCAGCAACAATGATTGGGATGAGATTGCACTAGCGCATTACCCCAGTATACTGCATTTCAGAGACATGCTGGTTAGTGAGGATTATCAAGTGGTCAACAAGAGACATCGTGTGCCCAGTCTGAAAGATACGTGTATCTTGATGACGAGTGAGATTGCGGTGGAACGGACGTTGGAGGAGGGCGTGGGAAAGGCACGGTTGTAGGTGTGTAATGAGGATTGCAGGAGGTTTGATCAGCCATCTTATATACTCATCAAATTACACAGACCTTTAACTGCAAAAGCGCTGTATTGCTCTATACACCCATGCGAGATGCTATGACCTTCGGGGACACCTTTATCTCCGGCCTCCGAGAGCACCACCACCTCCGGGAGCACCACCGCCTCCGGGAAAACCATCTGCACTCCATCACCGGAACGCCTTCCGTTATGCAATACCTTGCATGCTCAATTTACATAGTGCTTGATCGCGTGTTACACAGTTAAGTTATGAAACGCATTGATAGGGGCACGCCCAACTTGAAATATTAGTGCTCCCCTATACCAAGAAATGCCAGCATCTGTTCCTCCGAAAGACGAGAGGGAATTTCACCAAGTTAGAGCCGGCTCGGATCAAGGAAAAATCTGGACCCGAAACTACCTTGCAGATCACTTTCACACCTGGCGAATAATATGGGGTCCGTTGCAAAGTAGTTCATGCCAGATTAGTTGATTTTCTATACCAAAAATGTCCTTCCTATATTATACTATTACATAGCTGTCTATACGCTCTTCTATTGTAACTTTCTAATAGAGAGCTATGTACTGTGAAGAGTGCTTGAAGATGCTGAAAAACTGCTTAACAAACATCATCAAGGGCATAAGGAAAAGTAAAAAAAGAAGCCCTTGTCTCCTTTTATTGGTCAAATACTAACAGATTTAGACGAGGATTCCTAGCTGATTGCAAAACACCAGTAATACACGTAATTGTGATCCCTACGTGTTCCGGCGTATGTGCCAACCCGCAATGCGATGTCTTCGATCTGTATCCTTGGAAACAAGATACCTACCCATGGCTGATACAAATGTTTTACCCTTTACTTAAGTGAGTACATACTGATGAAGTATACGCCGTTATCGATATTGCCTTAAGATACTAAATCCGTTACATGTTACGGTGCGGGTCTGTATACTCCGAACGTAAGGCTTATTCTAGCGCTAGTAGCGCGGACGCTAGGCGTTAAGGTGCGGGTCCGTATAGTACTCCGAACGTAAGCTTAAGTATCAGCTACGCAGACAACAACAGAGCTTTGTTGTCTTGTGCCTGCCTTTCTGGCAGCGTGGTAGGCGCGTGTAGCTGCGTGCTCGGCTCTGCTAGGAGCCCTCCCTGACATACTACTGCATTTAACTGGCACTATCATTGGCCGGCCATAGAGTAAAGGCTACCGCCTTTCGGTCGACAGATCGAGTCGGAGATAAAATTGCCTAGCACTAATTCTCGGCCTGTAATGTGCCAATCGATTGAGAACCCAGACACTATGTCTTGTTCCGTCGAATGTGCTAAACCACAGTAACCTATGGGGACTCAAGGCCGGAATCGTACCTCCGTCTTCGTAATCAATAGATAGTGGGCACGGAAACGGAGGAGATGTTACTTCCGATTAATGACCTCTATCTACATAAAATCGGAAACCACCCAGTACACTTCTGTTGCCTAAACGAATTTCACAACATTCCAATAGACCATGGCGTTAGCAAATAGTGTTGCGGAATTACTCGCTCGGTTCACCAACGATACGTCGCTTGCTTCAATCGTCACATCGGTGGTGGCGTGTTCTCTAGGCCTTTTCTACTTTGCGTTCTATAGTAGACGCGCCACTACAAACGCGACATGGTATGCTCTTACTAGCGATGCCCTCAAGAGCCGGTCCAAACAGCAAGAGCAATGGATCACCAATTGCCAGGAGGTTCTTTACGGAGGATTGAAAAAGGTACTACATGTGTGGATAGGTAACATGGTATACGTCCTAACAATTCTTACAGGTCAAAAGAGCCATAGCAACATGGTCCCCTACCGGACCTGTTGTTTTCATCCCAAACTCATTCGCGCATGAGATTCGGAATATGAAGGAGCTTGAATTCGGAAAAAGCTTGGTAGCTGTAAGTGGAGCTGTCTGGGATCATTTCGTCATGGAATATCACTGACTAGTTGATAGGACTTTCTGGCTACCTATCCAGGATTGAATCCTATTGCAACCGTTGATTTCCATGACATCATGCAAGACGTCGTCCGGCTCGATCTTACCCGATCATTAGATGCTATTGCCGGAGACATGAATGTCGAAGTTGGCGCCGCTGTCAAAGATTTGCTGGGTAATGTTCCAGGTATATACTGCTCCCACCCCCAAAGCCACACCATAACACTGACAATTCTTCCTGCAAGACTGGAAATCTATAGACCTAAAACCGTTCATCTACACTATCATCGCCCGGGTATCTACCCTTGTTTTTCTTGGTCCGGAAGTTGCAACAAACCAGGAATGGCTTGAGATAGCCGTGACTTACACTTTGAATCTTGTACGGGGAGCCCAAAAACTCCGTGCTGTACCTCCATTCCTACGGTTCATTGTACAATGGTGGATTCCTGAGCTTAAGCTGTGCAGACAACAAGTTACTAAGGCTCGAGAAATCATTAACCCGGTCGTTGAGGACCGCATCCGGAGAAAGGCTACAGGAGAGATCACCGAGAAGACTGCTGATATGATTAGTTGGGTTGATGACAAAGCCCGGGCGAAGGGTGTCAAGATTGATTTTGCCAGTCTTCAACTCAATTTCGCAACGGCGGCACTGCACACAACTACCGAAACAATATCGTTTTTCATGCTTGATGTTCTCGGGAGTGAGAAAGAAACTGGAAACACTCTCGACCGACTGAGAAAAGAGTTGGTTGCAGTTTTATCAGAACATGGGTTGAGAAAGTCATCGCTGTCTTCGATGACGCTGCTGGATAGTGCCTTGAAGGAGTCTCAACGCATGAACACACTTAACAATGGTAAGTAATTCCGCTCTATACTCAGTATTCTGACACAAACTGACATTGACAGTCGCCATGATGCGTCAAGCCGTGGCCAACGTAACGCTTTCCGACGGCACCATTATCCCCAAGGGTTTCAAACTCGCCGTCGAATCCAAGATGGACGACCCCGAACTCTATCCCAATCCCGAGAAGTTCGATATCGATCGGTTTGTTCAGCTCCGCGAAATCAACCGGAATAAATGGCATTATGTCACGGGGTCACCCGAACACTTGGCATTTGGATACGGAAAGCATATTTGTCCTGGCCGCTTTTTTGCGAGCAATGAGATCAAGATCGTTCTTATGCACTTGTTGATCAAGTACGATTGGAAGTTTGTACCCGACCAAGGACGATTCCCGAGATTTTGCTCGGGAACGGAAGTTGCGGTTGACCCTCGTCAGAAGCTCATGGTGAAGAGTAGACCTGCGGAGATCGATTTGGGTTCGCTTTGAATTCAATACTTGCCTACTTAGTGGTTGAAGGGTAAGAGTTTCCAGCTCAGTGTTACCGGAGGAGAGTGATACATTTTGTGGTGAGCGGGTGTAGAGAGTGCAGAACCCACAAGTCCTACTCTGGCGGACTACAAGTACCTTCACCTTCACCTTCGTTGGTGCACGCCGACGCTGAGTTAAAGGGTAGAGTATAGCAGAAGAGATATAATGAACTAAAAATTGTAGGATTGCATGGTTTACTCTGTACACGAAAGTCTCCACCTTATATTCGTTGGCCTGAATGGTAGCTTTTGCCTAAGGGTCACTAGTAACCCTGTGCAGCGGCACAATAGAAGTAGGCTGCATAATGGCACAAGCTATGCTTCTGCTCTTCGCACCTCTCTCAGTTGTAGTCTTTGCAGCCAATCGAGCCACATTCAAAGATGAAGTGGCTGAATAGCGTCTTGGCATGAACCCTGTTCCGTAGTGCTTACTACTATTAACTTAAAAACTCAAGATTAACAACACGATATCTCTCCCCTACAAAAACCTTCAGTCCAACCGGATGATTAGTTCGGAACTGGTCGTTTCCGAGCCGGCAATCAAGCAATACATTACCTACCTACCTTTTTGGTTTAGCGCATCCACATCTTTGTCACGCAAATCTTCTCGGACGGTGACCTTAGAACACTATACTAGCTTGCTTGCCGTTGGTAAGCGACTACTTATCATATGGATCACTAAATATGAACTCGCAGGTTTCTCGTTAGTCGTTCTCGGCAGTCGTTCCTCCGTCTGCGATTTGTTGCTGCATATTATGTACAAACATCGGCCAGAACAAGATCCGCCAAAACTAAATGGAGACTATTCAACTATCAAGCTTACGTGTTTGGTTGCCAAATATAATCTTTTCTGGTCATTTGGAAGAAGCAAATTACCTTTTTCCCAGAGAACCAGCTAAGATTCCTAAACCATACTGTTCAACATCCAACCCGCGGGGAAACTTGCCTCTCCTAGCTGCTCTAGCCACTGGTTACGTCATCACTGCGACACCTTGTACGAGTGTGCATTGTTGACAAAGATGCCACCTATTGAAAAAAAGAAACTGGCCTTGAAAGTAACCTAACCAGGTTCGCAACCCGCGAATGTGGGGCTCTGGCATGCCCAATGTGCGCGATAATTTGAGTAGGTGCGCAAGGGGCAGATCTCCGTCTATCCTCCGATGCTCCGCGTTTCTAACAGACCCACGATCAACGATCTGCGACCCTTAACGACAAGGACCTATAATAATTCTGAGCAAGTATATATAACATCGCCTGATGGTCTTCTCTTTTACGACCGCCACTCTTCTTCTACTTCAAAGACCTCAAGGGCATTTGGGCAGAATTCACACTGCTACCGGCCCTGACTTTTGCTACGTTAAGTTTGTAGCTTGTTTTTCAACTTTGCTATAAGATTATTTTGGGGTGCTGCACCCCCTTTGACATCCTGGATGGGGAACGTACTGCTTCTTGTGGGCTGGATTATTGGAGGCGTCAGTTCAACCCCTCTGCACTTTCCCTTTCGAATTTACTAAATAAATACCCAGGCCATCCTTCAATTCTTCCTCCTTGCTATTTACAATGTCTTCTTCCATCCTTGCCGCAAATGTAAGAGGTCTTTTCTACTTCCCGTACAGTGCTTTTGCTGATTTGCAATCAAAGTCCCGGGCCCAAAAATTGCTGCAGCTACCGGATTTTTTTATCATTACAAATGTCTAAAGGGCGAGGAAGCTGCATGGCAGAAGGAAATGCATAGAAAGTACGGAGACATTGTCCGCCTTTCACCTGATCGATTGTCTTTCGTGACAGCCGAGGCCTGGAGAGACATTGCCGGCTCCTCAGTTGGGAAACGCCTTGAGAATCGGAAGGATCCGTTAATGTTTCCACCAAACCTTAAAGGCATGCGATCTTTGGCCTCGGAATATAGGACAGAAGTCCACAGGCCCCGACGAAGATTGTATCAGAACGCGTTCAGCGAAAAAGCCTTGAGGAAACAAGAGCCTGTGATTCTCGGTTATGTTGACTTGCTCGTCAAGGTTGTCAAGGAAGCTGCCAAAAACGATTCAAACAGCAAAGTGGACATCCAGAAGCTGCTCAACTGCTGTACGTTTGACGTGATGGCAGACCTGACATTCGGGGAGCCTCTCGGTCTACTTGAGCAATCCGAGTTGAGCGAATGGGTCGCACAGATCTTTGGCAGCATAAGATTGACGTCGATTAAGCGCATCATCATGGAATACCCAATCATTGAGCGTTTAATCGAAGCCATCACACCCGCGTCTCTCAAAGCTGCAGCACTAGCACACTACAACTATTCTGCCCAGCGTGTCGAGAAGCGACTCGCAAAGGGAATCGACATTGGCAAACCGGATATCTGGTCGCTGGTCATGACCAAGAATGAGCAAGACGAGATACCAAAAGAGATCATGGTGGCCGATGCTGCAACATTCATGGTTGCAGGAACAGAGACAACGGCTTCGACACTCACCATCCTTTTCTACCTCTGTCTCACGCATCCAGAGCAGATGCAAAGGCTCCAGGCAGAAGTACGTGCTCTGCGCGAGGATGAATTGACTCTCGATAGAGTGCAACACCTATCCTTCATGGCCGCATGCATCAAGGAGAGTCTGCGCGTCCACCCCGTCGTTCCCATTCCTCTCTTCCGCAAGACTCCAAAGGGCGGCAACGCCATCGACGGACAGTGGGTCCCAGAGAATGTAAGTCAAAAAACATCATGACAAACATTTCGAGACGTTCAGTCTTCGTCTATCTTCTGTTCCAATTTAACCTTTTTTTTTCACAAACCAGACTCGCGTTGCTGTTTCCCAACTCGCTGCCTATCATTACAGCTCGAACTTCAAAGACCCAGACTCCTTCATTCCTGAGCGCTGGCTTCCCGGCACTGGCTACGATGGCGACAAAAAAGACGCTTTCAACCCGTTCTCGACCGGGCCACGCAACTGTATCGGGCAAAAGTAAGTTTTGTTTTCGACAAAAGTCAGCTAAAAAAACAAGATCAAGCTTTTCGCTAACGTCCAATTTAATCGTGTTAGTCTTGCGAATTATGAGATGCGAATCATTCTTGCAAAACTCTTGTGGAATTTTGATTTTGAATTGTGTGAGGAGAGTCGGAATTGGATCAAGCAGAGGGTATATGTCCTGTGGGAGAAGCCTCCGCTTATTGTCAAGGCAAAGTATATCAGGGGATGAGATTTAGCTGGGTGCTTTCCCACGACTTTGGACACGGTAGATGCTAGTTTGCGAAGAAGAAGAATTTGTCTTTCCGTCACACTTTGTCGGACATTGGGTCTACAGGCACTGCTACCTGGTGCGATCGCAATCGACAGCACTGACGAGTTATCAAACCCACCAGACATAAATATTAATATAAGCTACAACACGAAGCCGCCAGTATTTACACTGTTCCAACTTCGCATAGGATGCGTATCTTCAAGTTCCACGCACCACCAGAGAACTTCCTTTGTCTTTTCGATCTGTCCGCTCTCCTCGTAAGCTCTGGCCAACGCGTACCATGCCTCCGAGTAGTCCCAACCAGCGCCAAGTTTCGTGAGGGTTGAGAGCAGCCCAAATGCACGATCACGCGCTGCAAGACGAGTCAACTCGGGAGGAGAAAGCTGATTCTCAGCCGAAGGGATGTGCGAGGTTAGATATTGCGACCTTGTTGTAGACGGACTGGTTTGAATGGAAGCGGCCGTGGTTGGCCGAGACGGCGACAATGTGGCTGTAGCATTGACCGGCTCCAGGGGTATAGCCTCCTTGTAGATATCCAAAAGTATGTTTGATAAACCCACGATACCTTCAGGATGATCGGGGAAATGTTGCAGAGCTCGTTCAAAGTCTGCGCGAGCCTCATGAGGCATCGATTGAGCAACAAGTAGCTCTCCGCGCTGATCAGAGTTAGCGAATGTTCTGGGATCATGAGCTTCATCACTTACTGCAGCAAATACGTCGGCCCATAGCTCTTCCACACTTTTCCCGCCACCCCACCCCTTGTCTGCAAGTGCTTTTGCTGTGGCCGACTCTACAGATACCTCTGCCTCAAATGTCTCCACCAACTTTAATGCCTCCGCTACAGCTTCTCTTGCGTCCAGGAACATATGTGCCCTTGCATATAGCCGTGAGATGAAGATCCAAATACTGACCAGTAATGAGACCTTTTGTCGACGCTCTTGAATCTTCGAGAAGTAAGGATCAGAAGGCACATAGTCTGCACGCGGGAGTACAGAAGGCAAGCGCATGTCTTGCCTAGGTGGGTGATCGTGCGCTAGCGGTGGAGCGGAATGGTCGAGATTATGAGGGATAGATCTCAGAGGTCTCTCTCCATTCTCATTGGATTTCATGGAAACATCAGGTAGAGCAGAGCCATCAAACGCAGTTTCTGGAAGCGGTGGAGCTCCTTGGGCTAGATCAGTCTCCGGGATAGAGGCTTTGCCAAGACTCGCCGAACGTGAACGCCGCTTCTGCAATTTGCTTGCAGTTCGCGTAACGCCAGCCTGTCCATCTTCATGTTTGTGATGAAAGAGATGATGTCGATGGTGGGAATTGGGATCTGCCGCAGATTCGTTGTTGGTTACTTGGATAGCCGGAGCCTGATCTGGCTGTGTGGTAGCTGTTTTTGAGCTGACAGCGGATGCATTGCGAGCGGCGTTGTCTTGCTGCGCCCTGACCGAGCCTCTCCCCCGAAAGATGCTCCCTCGCCCAGTGCCGATAGCAGTTTTGGGTGGCGCCAAAGCTGCAGGAGGAGTTGGAGGCTTGATCACATCTGCCGTCGGGTCGCCGAAAAGTCGACCATATAACGCCAGCAATTCATCGCACCCATCTACTGCTACAGTGGCACCATCTGTGATTTCGAGAAGCGCCAACTGCGTCATCTTAATCTGCAAAATATTGCTCTTCTCAAATCGCTCCATGCGATCCACGACGCCCGAGTCGGGGCTATCTTGGCCGACGGCATCATTCAGATGCTCACTACGGTAGGCGCCCGAGTCACCACGGCCGAACATAACAGTAGGATCACCAAATTGCTCAAAAGCTGCTTCGCAAGCTCGCTCGGCGGCAGCGAAATCAGACCGCGATGTCAGCAATAAAGCAAGAAGGTGCCATACTGGCATCAGCTTGCGCTCTCGGCCAAATTCGCTGGTAATACCATCGGAAAGTACTCCGTCAGCACTGATCGCGGTACCTTTAGTGCCTGAGGACAAGGCACGTTTGGCAATCTTGATTGCGCCTGGAATGTCTCGCACTTCTGCCAGCACTAAGGCTAGCGCGTAAAGAGCCTCCACATTGTTCTCGTCGCCAAGCTGTGGTGAAAGCGCCTTACGAAGGTACTGTACAGCTTTGGTTTGGATGCTTGAACGTGTTTCAACATCGTAAGTAAGCCGTGCCCAGTGAGCCTGGCTCACGCCGATGGCACAGTATGCTGCTGCCAGAGCCAAGGGCTCAACCACTGGTTCTGCCGAGGCAGTAGAGGCATCACCTTTTGCTGCACGACGATGTTCTGCCTGTTCCAACCAGTGCTCGATACTGTGGCCAATCTCGAGCGCCTTTTCGGCCTCCTTCTTGGATCCCCAGCGGCAAAGCATCCTAATGGCTTCTGCTGACGTTCGCAAGACGGTGCCGTCATCGTCTATACCTGCTTCGGGTTCCCCGCTCTTTTCCGCTCGGTCCTTGTTCCGCTGGATGATCTCCACGTAAGCATCGTAGGCTTTGTAGGCCAACTCAGGCTCGGCGAGCGATGCGTGGACGACGAACAGATTGCGCAGTATTTGGGTAGAGTGATAGGTCTTGGTGGCTGCTCGATAGAGAATCTAAATAGCGTCAGTACCGCTGAGTAAAATTGTTCGTTGGACACTCACATCAAGTACACCTCGAGCAACGCCCTCCTTGCCTCCTTCACCAAGATCCTCGTCGGACCATGTTGGGCCGCAGAGTAGACGCCAGTTATCCATGACAGAGTCCACCCATGATTCAACTTCGTGATTGGTTTCGCTGGCCTTGGGAAACTTTGTCTCCTTGATCAAAAGATTTTCATAGATAGTTTCCACTCGCTTGAGTTCTGCTCGCTGCCGTAATCGTATGTCGGAACGAGAGTTTGAAGAAGGCTTCTCTGCAATGACGGGCGTAGAGTCAGGCTCGTACGGAAGGTTTCGACGCAGGATGATGGAGAGCGAGTCATAGTATGCTTTCCATGCCTGTCGTCGGTGCTGTGCCGAATCGGCTATGTCGGTTGTATTGTTTTTGGATGAGGCATCCCAGAACTTGGCCCAATATCGGTACGTTCGCAGGGCATCGAAGGCGGTGACGTTTCCGCCAGTGCTCGTAGACTGGTCGGAGAGCTGGCAGAGACGGACAATGGAATGTTCACCCCACATGTGGAATTGGGCGGACTCGGTGCTGGGTGTGATGGCACTGGACAGCCATGGCATTATGGATGAGTAGGCCGTGACTGCCTCGCCGACTGCGCCTGTCTTTTCGAGAGCGGAACCTGTACCGCGTCAGACCCGGGATTTGCTTCTGGGAAGGAAAGGCGTTGTATGTACCTTTAATGTATGAGCCCTTTACCAAGCAGACCCGGGACCATCCATGTAGCGAGCCCCCTGCCTCGCCCGACAGCTCTGTTGCAACGACTCCAAAGTCGTTTGGAAGCCGCGATACGGCCTGAGCATGCTCATCGAGTACGTAGTGTGTCCACGCAATACACACGGTTGCCTGGAAGACATCCTGGTCGTGGCTACTGTCTTCGTCGATGGCGGCAAGCAGCGAAGGGACAATCTGCGACAGCCCAGCAGAGGCGGTCGAGGAGGCGGTCGAGGGGCGCTGGGCACTATAGGCGGCTATCTGTGTTTCGGAGCGGGCTGTGATGGTGAGGCCTTGATCCGACGTTAACCCTCAGTCACAGCATGTAAAGGGAACAGGGTTTGCTGACACTTCCGGTGTGGTGCGTGTTTTTCTACCTTCCTGCACAGCTCAGGTACATCGGCCCATCGTCCAGCACATCTGGCCTCGTCCAATTGCTGGATGTAGCGCTTCGCTTTCTCGTTCTCAGGGGCGTTCTGTGCTGCTGTAAGCTTTGGGCGCAGAGAAATGACGTTGCGCTGGAGGAAGTGGCTGCTCCCTGGACACACAAAGCAATATGGCGGGCAACATACCACCATGATGTTAAAGATATCCCTTTGGCACTACGCAAAGTCGCAATACACGCACAGTCATGTTCGAGTAGTAATATTCCTTGCGACCGCAGCGGCCATGGCCATCCACATGTCACAGACCGACTGCAGCTCTGGTCCCACCCAGCCGGATTAGTCCCCACATCCCTGTCGTCTTAGCGCTTCACGGGCCGACGCGACCGCCGAGGTCCAAACTTTTTTGTTGCCATTGAATTGACGAGATACTGTTCTTGCAGTTCAGCTCAAAAGAGACGAGCTGGGTTGATCTATTCAGACACGGCAGAACCAGCTCGTCATGGCGCCCCTTGCTGCAGAACTCGCGACGCTGCGGGCGCTCAGCTTCCGCATCTCATCTACACCAACCTCCCAACTTACCCAGCACGTGCCTGCAATAGCTGCATCCTTGGCCTCGTGCAGGACAATTCTTTCGTCGCCCCAGGCTTCAGGCACAAAAGCCACTTCCTCCGAATACTCTGTCGCCGTCCACAAGTACCGCACCCTCCTGTCTACTCTTCTTCAAGATCGCACTCCTCACGGAAGATGGTGCGCCATTGTCTTGATCAAAGCGACCATCGAAGTCGGAGGTTGGGAAACTTTGCAAAAGACTCTGCCCTGGGTTCGCGGTCTCTTGGGATTCCTCAACAAGCCGGACCCACCCTCCTCGAAGAAACTGTGCATCATCACCCTGACACGCATCTTTTTTCTGACGAGGGAATATCCGACGCTGGTCCGTGAAATCACCACTCCATCTCTGACGCCTTTCGTACAAGCGGGACTGCAGATAGCCAATACGGCTAATGTACCGGATTCTTTGCTGTTGACCGTCCTAGACAGTTTCAGCCAACTGCTACCCCGACATCCCACAGTCTTTCGATCATACCTCAAACAGCTCCACCCACTCCTAGCCCGCTTGGTTGCGCCCACCCCGTCCACCAAGCTGAGTCAAGAAGAAATTTCTGGATTCAGGTATGGGGTTACATCCGATATTGCTTCCGCTGCGCGCCAACTCTATGTGCAGTTACCTCACTGTGCACCAAAGGGCACTTCTGGTGAGGACTGGACAAAATCCGTCAAAAATGTAGTCAACAGCACCCACCAAACTGCAGATCATGTCTTCCGTGCGGTAGTGGAAGATTGGCAATCTACTTCCCGTGAAGCACCCTTGGCGAATGGCCATACCATCAATGATGAAACCCAGGATCTGGAGCCAAGCTCAGGTCTTTCACCTTGGTCGGGCATTTTCGCTGGTGGTGAACGACTGCTGGGACTCATGTATCTCCTGAAAGAGTTCATAGAGAGTCCCACTTCAAGCACTATCTACTTGGATGTCGGTCTGATCGTCGACCTGGTCTCGAGGATGCTTTCGGTCACCATCCCTGTATCTTCATCCAAAAACTTCCAAAGCACTATCCGCCTGAATGCGCAAGTCAGCAAAGAAGAGCGAGAAAACCTCTGGCTTTTGCTTCCGGAGGTTCATGTTGTTGCGATCGAAGTGCTTTTGTCACTAGCACATCGGTCTCAGTCGAGCACCATTGCGTTGGACCCAATCATCATTGACCAGCTTGTCTGGGTCTTCAATGCGGAAAGAGACACGGTCCAAGTCAGAACGGCATGTTATGTGGCAACATCAGCTCTTTTGAAGAGAACTGGAGTTGCGCTTCACAAGTCTACTGTTGACTCTCTCCTGCCCCTCATCCGTTGCTGCTGCGATGACCTGCTTCCCTCAGCTGCAACTATCACTACAACCAACGCTATCCCCAGCCGTGCCAAGGTAAATGGCAATGCTCAGCCACAGACGTCTGCAAACGCAGACGCTTTCCTAAGCGCCTCCAAGGAACCCGGCAATACCCTCGAAGGCTATACGGGACTGTCCCAAGCCGCATACAATCTTCTGCCTGTGCTACTCTCGGATATTCGTGCTCAACATTTATCCGACTCCATGCGAGCTCGCCTAGACCGCACTGCAATTCTCGCACAGCACAAGGAGGCCATGGTAGCTAGTTTACTGAACCCTCCACCAAGCAAAAGGTTTGGTAAGCCTGCAGCAAGCATTCTGCCCCTTATGGCTCGGTCATTTTCTTCTGAAAGGGACGTTGAGGGCATGCTGCGGCCACGGATGCCAGTAATCCGCCTAGGTGGTCAAGACCTGGATACAGAAGAGGGAGTGGACGACATGGACGTTGAGGAAGAAGAGGAAGAAGAGGAAGAATCTGAGCCACAAGCTCCAGAAGAAGTGGCTGATGGATTTGTAGAGAATACTGGGGCCTCAGTGAAAGACTTCGCCATGGCAGATGTTCTCCACACTGACGCACACACATTCATCTCCTCCACGCCGAAATCAGCATTCACAGATTCAGGGAATACGCTTTTGTCAGAACCCTCAGCCTCTGGTGAAGCAAAGCGCCCAATCGGCAACGAAGGCCCTCATTCTCCTTCGAAGCGTGCAAAAACAACCCAAGATGACCTGCAGCCTACGCGCGCCTCACAGCCTGTTTCCACGGCTACCACGCCTTTTGAAGACTCTCTTATCGATGCGACAGCGTCAGCTACTTCCGATTTCACTGCTACTCATACCGCCTCTGCGATTCCAGAGCTTCCTGATCCAGGTGAAGGTGACGATGACGATGACAGCGATAACGATAAGATATCACTAGTGCTTGGACGGGACACTGATGATGACTCGGATTGATAGTAATAGTAATCGTTCAAACCATGGATCTGCGCGTGCTTTGAATATACAGTGAAACTGTTGGCTGCAAACACTCGTGGTGCACAGACCCTGTCCGCTATCCATAGATTACAATACCACTTCTTACAACAGCACTTTCCACTCGTCCAGACCGTTCAACTGATGCTTTCGATGCCCGACAGTCCTGATTCATTCACGGACCACATCACAACACCGCCACTATGCCAAAAGCCAGCCGCCCAGCCGTCATTTCTGGAGCGTCTACTACAGCAAAATCCAGGAAAATCGCCAAAGTCATCGTCAAGCGCACACCCAGAAAAGGCAATATAGCCACTTCGCCAGATTTATCTACAACGCCGCAACCGCTACGCAAGTACCCATGGGATTCTCATCAAGGTGATATAGTAGTGAATAGCGTCGAAACTCCGAACAAGACAGGACGACTCACTGGCGTAGAGCATTACCTCCAACAGCTCTCCTTGAAGGAGGACTACAAGGACATCTGCACAGACTTTGACGAGTATCGTCGCAACGGGCTGAGAGTGACTGATGCATGGGATCCTAGTGATGAGCAACCAGACGAAGCGGAGCAAGAGCGATACAAGCATCGCACTGACTACTCATCCACACCCATCCCGCGGCCACCGCCAGTGCATACCGAGTACGAACACCAAATCTACACATGCACAACGACCAACCCCGCCATCTGTCTCGCCATAGTACGCATCGCCCAACACAACCTCCCCAACATAAACTTTCAATCAGCGATCAACCATCTGCCCAACCTTTCCCCCGCAGGCCGGCTTCCCAAATTACCATTCGGCGTTCTGGCAGAAGACATAGCACACAAGCAGGATGTGGAAAACGACGAAGACATTACCGTACTTTTCCTACCGCGGTTCTATCACGACGGCAGACATGCGGTGGGGTACTTCACTACCGATTCGCCCCCAACGAACTCCACACAGGGCTCCTGGAAGGCGCTCATGCAATATGTGCGACAGATGCTATTCACACCGTGTACGCTCGAGGATCTGGAGGCGTACGGGCTGATTAGGTATGCGGCTGTTTCCAGAGCCCAAGACGATATCGAGGGAGGCGATGCATCTGTGCAGAGTATCGGCGCGAGGGGGGGTCGCTGGCTTCAGTATGATAGCGTGGAGGATTGGGATGAGCGGAGGGCGGCGTTTCATATTGTCGAGACGCTTTGGGATAAGCGGTTGGGGGTGACGACGGGGTTGGAGGAATCATCCCTCTGAGGGGTGGCAGTGAGCAAGATGGCTTTAGTTGGGTTGGCATAGCGCTGGAACAGGTCCTTCCGAGCCAGATGAGATACTTGAGGAGATGCGTCCTGGTCCGAGGCCACAGATGATGACAACGGGCTTAACTGTCTCCTTTTATTGTTTCTCCGCAAGTAATCACTGCATTCAATAATCAGGATTCGAATCAACCTATCACCCCATGGACAAGTCAGTGGTCACTCAATTTACACGAGCTGTGAGTGAACGGGACTTTCACCTTGTGCGCACAAGAGCTAGGTTGCCATCACCTACCACGTCCTCTTCGAATGATGAGATACAACTGGCACGGTCCCTGCATTTTTGCTGAACGTCAGTATGATCTACATGTGATACGTGGGCAGACATGTGCCCATCATCTCGTTCACAATCGCCCAATAATGACAATGTGTATATTTTCAAGCGTGGTAGCGAACGCAAATTCCAGTTGGATAAGTATTGGGGTTGCTTCAAACAGATCTCAGGGTCAGCGATGCTGATTGCTGTTGGGAAGGGCACAATGAACCCCTGAGCGGGCCTCCCATGCGATAGATTTATCCTCTGCATATCTGAGTACGAGCACTGTGCTGCTGCAACAAGAACCTCTACGGTACCTGACCAGCAAATATCTGTATGGTCCGCCATAAGGGCTGACTAACGCATGTTGCAGAGACCGACACCATAACAAGAACGTTCCGCCGTCGCCTCAATTTTGCCGTATGAGAACCATGGGTCCTCCAAAGCTCTCATGTCCGTCTCCGCTCACGACTGTGCCTGGAACATTCACTATGACTGATAGCGCGAGGAAACCCTTTCAATTTTTGAATCTCTCAAAGGACATACGCCTTATGGTATACGAGGAGCTGAGCATGAAAACGTACCGAGACAGGTTTCCTCTACGGGACAACCAAGATTATGTAACGCTGGTCAATACAGTCATCCCAGGTCTCTCAATTCTCGCAACTAGCCGTCAGATCAGATCAGAAGCATCCTCGATCATCTTGCCACGGCTGCGAGTGATATTGTGCTCGCCGCCAGTCATTGTCATCCAAGCTGAGCATCTCATCAGCTTAATGGATCTACACGACTGCTTCAGCTCTGTCTACGGCACCAAATTCATGGAGAAACTCATATCCTGCCTGTATGATCCGAGAGCACTGCCCAGAATCATGCGTTACCGAAGAGGCAAACTTTCGACTAGGCAGTTGCGGAGAAGACTTCGCCTACAGGAGCTCATTGCAATAGACGATGAGGCAAGTCTCAAGGCGTTTGTGAGATTCGCTCTTCGCGCTATGAAATATCTAACAAGAAACACCGCCGAGACCCATCACGAATACCCGCCGCTTACGTTCGTGGTCGAAGTCCCAGATACCTTCCAAGGAATACCTGTCACAACCTCGACATCCCTGATGAAAAGCATCTCGTATAAAATCTTCTCCCCGTTGATTCCTACCCTGCCGCGAACGGTGACCAATCACGCAGGCATCTTGTGGCTGCTTCGCCGTTTCACGTTCCACATCTCGCTATCGTGCGAGCTGTGGCGCATCGTTTCGCTCATCGTGAAAGTGAGGCTACTGGACAAAGGACATACCGGGTGGCGAATTAGCGGAAGCAACGTTCAAAAAGCGATTCTGCGTGGCCTGGAAGAAGCCAGGAGTAATGTGCCGGGCATAGTACGTTATGGCGGAAGGGTTCCAAGGGAGACGGACGAGATCTAAGGGGAATAATCATGCTACAAGCATGCGGAGGATTAGCTCGAGGTACCGTAGTGGTGTACAAAGCAGATGGGACATAGTCTTGCAGCGATGCGGGAGTGGGCTTCTTAGTTGGAGTTGCTCACGGGATTACTGTTATCGTGGAAGTCGCACGTTAGTAGGTAGCTGCATCTACGCAAGCAGAATTTGCACTTTGGAGAGAACTTTGGACTCTTCTTATGAGCAAAGCAGGGGGAGGGTTAATGAATGGAGGGATGATCTTGAAAGGAAAAGCTTGTGTCATCTTTGTATTGGACTGCTGCCTTGTATTAAGCAGAGTATTCTGGGAATATATAGTGAGTCTAACTCGTAGGCTCGCTCTTGATTAATTCTAAACAAAAGAAATGGACAGAATCGAGCTTGGTAAGTGGTGTTTACCATCGTGACACTAAGCTGAGTAGAGTAATAATTGAGGGGGGAGGAGAGAGAGGGGAGGAGGGAAATAATTTTCATTTAATTCATTCCTTTAGGTCGAATGGCCATACTTTTCTGAGATCAGCTTAACTTCTAAGAGATTCATTATCAACGTCGTCGTCATTGTCATCGGACTGGTTATCATCATTAGGCTAATTGTTCACATCAGGCTGACCAGCATCGAGAATGAGCTGTAGCATCTCCCAAAAAGTCTTTTTCTTGTCCAACCTTAGCGGCCTCCCAGTCTTTTGAGGAGGCCCAGCCGTCATCTTTTATTTTCAGTCGCCATACTAGACAGCTTAACAGATGCTAATGTATTCGCCGCCAATGGGATTGGAAGGGTCGTCACTCCAGCCAAGCATCTTTGGAATAGGGATCTCAGTCTCGGCTGATACTTATGAAGTCTCAAGGCGGTTAGCGGCAACATCATTCGTGTTCTATCATTTTATTGCAGAACATACAGTACTTGATGATTGTGACGTTTGAATTTGTCGAGAATCGTGGAGGCTCTGCTAATCTAAAGGGCAACTTTGCAACGATAAGTTCATCGCTAGCCATTTGGAATATGAAGACTGGAGTAAAGGTGCTTTCCTTCTCATCATACGAATTATCCCTAATTGACTTCGGCAGTTCAGTAATGACATCTACTGTTACAGTCCGGTCTATGTATAGCATGTCTGTAGCTCACGTATTTGACTAGTAAGACGCGAGTTGGGTAAAGCTGGAAAAGTCCAATTTCTAGTAGGAAGCATCGTGCGGATCACTTCACAGTTCAACCTAGTCTCTCTTTGAGTACGCGATCGTTTATGGACCCGGAAAAAGCCCTATTTATCATTGCCCGCTTACCGCAGCTGAATGGACGTGTCTCAGACTGGCATAGTAGAGATTCGGGTAGGTTTGCGGGGCCGACCGAGGCGGTGGACATGGTCGAGAATGAAAGCGTCTGATGACCCACAGAATGGAGGGAAAAGGCGGCCCGTGCAATGTTAGCGTGTCCTTGGCATCGACCCTGCTTTTGCACACGTCCCAAGCTGTTTCTCTACATACACTGAGTCTCTGATGTCCTTTCCAATCCATTGTGCAACCCAGTCAACGTAGCAAACCCATCTGATAGTGTGACGACTTGCGAACTATCACACCAGTCCCCAGAGCGCTACCAGGGCCTTCCATGCAGCACGGTGCCGTTCCTTTACTCGACAGCTGATGACCCCGCACTCGAGGCCTGCGTCGATACCCACAGCTATAATGGTACAATGGCATATCGTGAATCGCAAACAACGCACCAGCCCCACCTTTGATGCAAGTTGAAATCACGCCACTGTGCTCAAGCCACTCACACACAGCCACGGGGCGCACATCGGGGCTCCTGCATAGCTGAGGCATATGTATGTATGTCAGACACTCGGCGCCGTTACATCTGGCCATCGGTGACTACTGTGGTGTATAACTGTCTCGGTAAAGGCTGCGTTATTGGGAATTGCTAGGTTGTACGACGTGAACGGCGTGAACAATGGCAGTATCCAAGCTGGATGACGGCAAGGTGTCCGGTGAAAGCATGTTTATGCCACGTGTGACGAAGTAGTCAAGGCTGATCCACCACCTCCTCCGAATGTTCAACAAGTGGGGTCTGGTGGGGGTTACGCTGTTTGGGTCAGCTTGGCTTCATGAACCTCTTTTACTCCAGTGGTAAGGTGGCTGTCGGACTAAACCTTCGCCACTCGTGTTCGTCGTTTACTATAAAGCCCAACCTTTCCTTACTATCTGTCCGCTCTTTCTTCAACATCCCACTAAGCTTCAACAACCCCGCACTCGAGACCATTTCCCTAAAAGTTCCCTTTCACCATGAGTTTCTATTACACTGCTGAGAACATCCGCATTGAAGACGGCCACATCCTCAGGGCTCGTCTCCAAACTGCTGACGGTAACTGGAACGACTCCGAGATCGACCTCAATTCGTTCATCGGCAACGACAATGGTAGTTTGCTTCTAGCTTCTAATTCGGCTTCGCTAATACTCTCTAGGTCACTTTGTTTGGGAAGGTGAGGGCTTTGCCGGTTCAGCGGAAAACATTCATTTTGCCTTGGAAGGTGATGGTGACGTTCCCGTCCTCCGCGCCGATTTGAGGGATGTCGATGGCAACACAGAGAGTCGTGACCTCAACCTGGGTGAGCGTATCAGCAACGAAAACGGTCAATTCCAATTCAGTTAGTATCCTAAGTGTCCTCCGGGGTGATGCTGAGAGCAGCTTACTGACAGATTGATTAGTCTAAGCCAGCTTCAGTGGCCATGTACATAAGTAAAAATGCATTATGATTTCGCAGAATATGCAAGAACGTGCCCATCCAACACTCACTTCTGTGATGCAAATCAACTTCCTTGCTACTATATGCTGCGGCTAGACACAGCGTTGTCATTATAGTCGTTAGCAAGGTCTTTGTGGTACGACACGCGTACGTTGATTGGACAGCGATGTGCAGGCACTAGCACGTACGTGTATATGTGTGGCTGTGCAAACCTAACCCGACATTGCTGGCTTATGGCCAACGGGTCTCATTTCGGATCTACTTTAGGTCTTTTCTATGCCCTCCTGTCAGCCTCTTGCAGGCCTCCCATCGCTCTTCCAGTGACAAACAAGACGGTTTCTTAGCGCTTACAGGTAGTTCATGCATGTAATTGTAAAAAAGTCATCGAAATCCACAAATCCCCGCACAACTGCTTATCGATTGAGCTTCAAAAAAGGAATAACTAGGATGTAGCCTTGGAACCGGGTAGAGCTTGCTGTTTCCCTCATTCGCAAGCTCTCTGCCGCCTAGTACGGCACTTGGAGTATTTCTCGTACGTTGATACATGTTCATACCGCGGTGTTAGGTAGGCAATCATCCTATGAACGACTTTCCCGTGGCGCATTCGGCAAGATAGCTTCCCACTTGTGGCGTGTACATAATACCCAACCTATCACTATAGCAAGAAATGCCTCAGTGTAGAATTAACCTCTACTTCTCTTCATCCTGGCTGGATATCTCACATCTAGTGTATTTAGGTTTTGGCTTAATAGAAAAAATTTGATGGTACGGAAGTTGATTAGTACGTTTATCCATGAAGGTGTTGGTGGTAAAGGCTTACTTGACATCATAGAGCGTTTTTATCGCACGTTCGCAGATTCATTGCTCGGTCAGTTTACATGCTTCCCGAGATGAATATATTAGGAAGCTAAATATAAAAAAGTTGACCTTTGCTGATTGGGCTCTGTGAACCGAAGATGATTATATATATGTATCAAGGCAATACAGTGATCTGCTATAGAAGTCTTCACTTTCATTACACAGATACTACGTATTGGTAGTCTTGATTTCCTAGGCTAACAGCCATGTCCTTTGTGAATGTTTGTTTGGCGATATTCAGGTCTATGTAGTGAGCTAAGGGAACTTTACGTATCATTTTGCGACATCATTGAACGCTACCAGCCGAACACGACCAGGCCCAATCCATGCAATATGGGCCTTAACAGTATATTGCTCGTTACGTAATATACAGAAGAGAGTATGCTAATGAGTGCAACAGGCCGCCACGCATGCTCTGATGGAGTGACGGCTAACTGCTATGAAAATACGGGCCCGCATAGTTGTGAGCATTGCTGGGCTACTTATTGCGAACCCAAGTCAAGTCTAAGACTTGGATATTGATTGTTTTGGATAGAGCGACTCCTTCTACATATTAGAAAGAACCCTCTAGATCTACTACTATCTGCTTTCCTCCAACCGTGTGCAGATTAATTTCGAAGATCGGCTCGGAACTAGTGGATTTGCTGATGGTTTTTACAAGATATAGTGGCACATGGCTACTGCAAACTAGTCGCGCAACAATATATTCCCTGCAGATCATCCGTGTAATATGTACTAGCTGGGTAACCTAGGCCCCTTTTTTGAACAAATGCCCTCGTTTAAATCTTCGAGTCTTCCACCTTGAGTCTCATGTCAACAGCTGCCACAAAATGGCGAGGAAGATCATGTTATCGGCTAAGAAGTAGCTTAATACCGATGACTTACCTATAGCTGATTCTCCCAACGGAAGAAGAAGTTCACGGACTCTATCCGATCTTAAGCGTCAGGCACGGTGCCAGTGGATTGTATCAAGCACCCTATTTATAATGGGTACGTGTCCATTGACTAAATACGTTAATACATAAAACCAGCTCCTATGAGCTGGTTTCAAGTTGGTGAAGAGTATCAACGTCAGGTATGGGTGTGTGACGGTGACAGATTTAATGGAGTTTAGTCCTGCCCAGTCTAGTCGGTGTTCTGAGCAGCTGTATTTGGAGTAATAGACATGATAGGAAGCTGGCGTGGCGTAGACCAACATCTACACCACGCCACTTCATCACAAAACGAAGTCCGTGCCCAGAGGCCTGTTGTGTTTCTTTAGAACTAGAAATATTCAATCAACGCATATATAAAGAAATCCACTTTCAAGTCACATCAGAGTCTTCACCTCCACCAGAGATCCTCGAAATACAACTGCAACCTCAAATTCAATATCATTCTCTCAACACTCAAACCAAAATCTTTCACCTTCACCAGCGATCTTCTAGATCTACCTCTCAACCCAAACCAAAGCGCTTTTTTAACAGTCTTTAATCCTCCATCCTTCAACGTCACCATGAAGCTCTTCCTTCTCTGTGCTACACTTCTCAGTGTTGTAGCGACTCAAGTAGGAACCGACAAGACGTGTTCAGTTGGTCAACAAAAATTCTGTGCGGAAAACATTTGTGGATCGATTTTGAGACCGCTTTGAACGGTCTGTAGCCTACGCATCGTTGTATGGAGTTCTTTTTAAAGAGTTCAAGCTCGACTGGTTTTTATGAGTGTGTTCATAGCTCATATGGACGAATTGGACTTCCTGTTGGGAACTTGAAATCCTACTACTTTCGCTCAACTCTTACAATGACAAGCGCTTCATTACATTTCTTATTGGTTTTTCTGCATATATATAATATATCGTTTCTAATAGATTTGTTTAATGCAACTTAGCTTGGCTTTACACAGGCTGCCATGTGCCCCAAAAAGTACAGTATACTGCATAGCAATTTCTGTTATGGGATGGGCGATACCTATCCACATGAGGTAAAAATGAGGCGCTGACCCGTAGAGGGACTATAAATAATAATTCGAATAGGTTGCTATCGGTGACACGGCGACAGACATCCAACAGAGCTATCTCGCCTGGTTTCAGGGCTCGCGACACGGCGCCTAGAACAGCAGCACGTGGCCGTGTTGTTCAGCAAAAGAGAGGCATGAAGAACATCTATCACAACGCTGAATAGATGGTCATCTGGCTGGGATAAACGTCGAATGACAGCAGTCTCGCCGTTAACTTCATCAGAATGCACGACAAGTCCTAACGAAAGGGCAACATTCTTGAACAGATTGATTAAGCTTTTAACGGAATGGATGGATAAGGGATGAAACATCCATACGAAGTCTGTTATGGTGCTCTTCAAAGCTAAGTTTGCGCTGTATCTAATCCAGGGTAACAAGCGCGCTAGTAGCTTCTACGATAGCAATCATTCGGGTTGTAAGTAACACAATGAGGTATAATAGAAGTTAGAGTAGCTACTATGATAGCATAATGTCATTTTGGACACATTTGGTAGGATCTATTAGAATCATAATGTTCTAGAAACTATCAAAATCAACTACGACAGCTCGACTCTAACCTTCCGGTAAGTTCTCAACTGCACAGGCCCCACAAGTCCAAACTCATGCCAGTCCTGGCTAGTATAGACTGTTTTATTATTCGGACCAGCTCCAATGCTCAATACATTGTCGATGTTTTCTTTGACAGCGTTGAAGAGGGACGTTGTTACTTCCACTTTCATAACGTTGCTGCCGTCTCGAACTAGGTTGGAAATTTCAACGATGGGATTCGTTGGGTCGATGGCGGGGACTTGTTTGCCATTCAGCCACGCCTTGATGGTGTGTAGAACGGGTCCAAAATCTATCATGATGGATGTGGAGTTATCTGTTGAGATGGTGAAGGTCGTACTGTATGTTCCGATACCACTGGAATGTTCGATTCCCGGAATTTTCGTCCATGGTGCTAGTTCAGGAAGCATGCCTACGTTGATTGTTGTGATGTTGGGGTTAACTGTAGCGAGGTCGAGCATAGGCCCATAAGCTTGAACTTTAAGATTCCAGGTACCCAGGGTGGTGACCATCGGACTTTGTGTGTTGACTTTGGGAAGATTGATGTTTTTGCCATTGCTCAAGGACAACGATACTGGCAAGCTGTCGGAAATCAATGCCTCCAGGTGGTTGTCTTCTGTGAAATGGACATTCTTCACATTTGAAGAATGATTGACTACGTTTTTTCCTCTTTTTGCAGGGGCGGAAGCTTTGAAAGCGATTATAGTTGTTTGATGGGATTGTAGTTGAATGGCCATCCGGACGGTAGAGGAGCTTCTTTCAAAAACTGCCGACGAGACCTCAGAACCAGTCCATGAATCCAGGATGTAGGGCAGCAGATCTTTTCCGACATTGAAGGTGATGTTGAAGACTCCTGATGCTCCTTGATTGTACAAATAGACGTACTCAGAGCGCGACCGGGCATCAGTCGTCCAAAACGTGAAGAGGTCCGACGCATTGGTAGTACCGTCCACCTGAGCGCGAGCATGTACCCCGTCTGCAGCAAGCGTGGATGTCGAAAAGTCCTTTGCATCGAAAACGCGCACACTCTTATGCTGCAGTAGCTCCTTGATATTTGCTGAGACCTGTTGCTGTCCTGTGGATCCAATTGTAGTATTTGGGATTGTACCCACGATATATATGGGCAGTCCGTTGTGTGCAAATTCTAACAACGCCGCAGACGCATCTGGCGTAATCTGCGTCTGGTTATGAATGAGTAGAGCCTTGTAAGCTGGTCCCTCAGGAGCCAGAACACCATCAACAACCACAGCATGCTCAGAAACCAAGTTCTTTGGGCCTAAGTACTCATATGTGTACCCTTCTATGTGTTAGTCTAGTCTTCTAGTTTTTGGTTTGTTCATCTCACCGTATGCGTTTGCGTCAGACGTGGAATACATATCTGCAAACTTGAAGGGAGCCTGATAATTGTACAGAGCGAGGTCGACTTTGGGTGTGCCGGATTGCAGTATCAAGCTGTTTCTCGCTGAATACGTAAAGAGATCATCGAGATGCCGCCATGCTGGCTGCCTTTGATTCCACATTTCAGTATACGAATATTGAAAAGGCGTGTATCCGGGCCATGTTGTCTTGACATATTCGCCACTGTATGCATAGCCATGAACAACCATCGTGTTAACCCCCGCTGCGTAGGATTGGTCAAACAGGTTTTTCAGTTTGGGGATCCGAAGAATGTATGCTGCTCCATTGATTGCGCCGATTTCCGTCGAGATAACATTTCGACCCGATAGATGAGCCGGGCCTACGAACTGCCGGTAAAGATCTATGTCTTCCTCAAAGCCAAGAGACTCGAGTTCAGGTACTTGTACATGTGGTATAGCTTCCGCCTATAGATCATCAGAGCAGATCTTTATTGGGTGAAGAAGAATGTGACGCGGGGACGTGTCAAAATAACTTACCATGTCAACAGGTTGGTTATAGCCAGGTTGATTGGACAGCTGAAGTCCCTTGCTTGACGCCCATTTGGCATAATGATCGATGTAATCTACATAGCCCCCACTAAGAGCAAGCTTGTAGTCTTGAACGTAGGGGCCACCGTCTGTGAAATACTCGCCTATTGTGTAAGTCATGTTGTAAGCGGGAAACAATGCTTGCCATGCATTCGTCCCGTGGAATAGAATTGGGAGATACTTATTGATGCTATATCCATGAAGCTTTTCGAAACGCGAGGGAAGATCTGGTGTCCATGGAAGAGCGGCTTGGATCTCCATACTATCCTCCCAGGCTTGGAGAAAATGTCAGTTCGGGTATAAAGGTAAAGTACTGCAACACTCACCGTAGCTCATAGCTTTCCCCACGAGGCTAGCTATTCCAGGGATAGACAGAATGTGTTGATCCCAAAAGTCCGTCGTTTTCTTTGCACCACTTGTACTCCAGTGGTCTACTATCCAAGAACCATTGCCTAGCGCGGTTGTGGCATTCGCAACTGATACACAGCTTCGCTGATTTGTATAGCGCTCATACATGGCAAATAAGACCCATGTTCCATTGCCATCTGGAGCTTTCCATGTTAAAGTGCCATGGTTCGTGATGTTAGTCAACTCAACCATGGAGTCATGATCCAAAACCGTGTAGGGAATCCTAGAGCCATACGGACCGTCCGCGAAACCACCTTCTGAGGCGATTCTTCCAGCAACTACAGCCACCAGCTCGTTTGATCCCCACGGCTCCGGTGGGTTCATGAACCCCGGAAGAAAGTTGTAGTTAACAACAGGCTCGGGGATCTTATTGGAGAAAGTAGCTCCTGATTCAATCTTGGTACTTCCATACACAAGCGTCTTAGCTAGGCCGGGAGCCTCAACCTCTGAAGGCACTCCAGCGCCTTGGTTGGGACCCAAGGCGAAATCGAACGCTAGCTGAAGCGTAGTCGCTGTATCCAAGGCTGCCTGGAACAGTTTGTTAAAAGCGTCTGTACCAAATCCATAAATAGACCAGTCGGTCAACGCGGGCCCCAACCCATAGTTGTAGAAAGGTAGGAACTCAAAGCCACCGCCTCCCACAGCGGCGATTTGACGAATATCATTTTGAACAGATTCGTGTGTGACTGATGCGTCAGGTAACCTACCGACATCAGCAGGGTAAACAGGTAACAAGAGGGGTCCAGGAACACAAACCAGTATCTAAACTTTGGACGGTATTGGTTTGGAGGGTTGCTGAACTGAGCAGTCACATTACTTGACGCAGAGCTATGCACTGAAAGCCCTCTAACTGTAGGTAACAATAGAGCAGATAGAAGCACAGGCTTCATTGTTCACGGTAGGCGAGGAGGTGATACTCGGTCGCTGGGCTGTCGTCGGATATCGGGTCATTTAAATGGGAACTTAGAAGGTACGGTTACGACTATTACGACTAATGACCACATGCTGGGCCCACCCTCGCACTGAACTTGCCCCGGGTTTATTCATCAAACTAAGCTGAATGGATATTAATACACTTCCGGCAGAGAGCATGCGTACCCCGGATTGTTAGGATTTCCACAATTTTAGCAAAGGCCTTGCTTGCAATTCGTGGAGAGAATAGCAGGCAGGGTTGGTGACTCGCGTGATGCTAGTTCGGATGTTCGGGTGCAGCCAGGCACTGTGCTAGAATCCTATTGAGAGCATAGATCTCTAGTCGGGATAACATTGAGCTTCTGTCGTCAAGATTCCGGAGTTTATTCTTCCGAGCAAGAAGCAAGAAGCAAGGCATCATACATAGGTCATTCGGCAAGTAAGTAACTCCAGGGAACCACATCGTACCATCGCAGATTGATGCACATTGCTATACACGAAGTGAATATACTATTATCATACGTCGTTCTATGTTGTCCCATGCTCTGTAAATCGAGGGATTGTATAAGATTTGCTTGGACATATGATAAATTCGTCAGTGGCCTTCCGCCAGTCCGGTAAGATTTGGGGTAAAATAGGCTTTATTGCGAATTCGACATATCTCTTTCTTGAAATGAGGCCTTGATACAGGCTTTGTTGTTATTTCTATCCATATTCTGCGCTGTGCTCCTCTATTCAGGTTCACAACGAATCCCTGCAACGCATTAGAGTGACGCAACGCGTGGTGCCGAACAAAGCCTAGCTCCTCAGCTTCGCATCGGCGATTGGCCCGCTTGCGGACTCCATCCGAACTTCTGCGTATGCGTATTCGTATGCGTATCTATGTAGATCTTTTGCGCACAGGATCGATAAGCGACTCGTACTTGTCCCGAATTTAGGTGTAGTAGCTAAGATCACCGCCAACGGTCTCAGTGGTACTGTGTCCGTTGCCGAGGTATGCAAAGTGGTTAGTGCCTAGATCGCGCGTGAATTTCCAATCCTCTCATCGCGGGTCGCGCAAAGCCTCGAGGTAGTGCAGAGTAGATCGAGGCCACAAAGCGAGGACCTTACCAGATGCTGTCCTCCATCCACGTACCTTTTCACAAATGAAAATCGGTGACTGTACTGGAGGTTGTCCTTCTGCAGCTTTAAAAGCATTTGAATAATTTACTCAATCTTCGCCTTGATGCTAAGAGGATGGGCCCGTTGCCGATGGGTCAATTGGGACCGAGCGTAAAGAAGTCATTCGGACAGTGATCAACCGCGATCCCGAGGTATGCCTGAAACTCATCTGACAGCCATGTTAACAAGTTGCAATCACGCTTGGATGGATGATAAATGGCGCACACAGAGATCAACACTTACCTCTCCACGCATTCTTGAGCATACGACCTCGAGCATCTTGCACAGGAAATGAGGGCTGGAACGTCGTGCTAAAGCCAGTGGCGCAGATGAGGCCATCGACCGGGTACTCGCCCTTGCCATTGCTACATACGACCCCGGTTGGTGTGATCTCCGTGATTTCTCAGAAACTGTTTGCACGCTGTCGTCTCTTAACGATTCAAAGTAGTCTGTCACGGGCGTAAGCCTTCAGCATCCGACGGACCACTCCAGAATCAGCACCTTCTCAAGCTTCGGGTTCTCAAGACGCTGTCGCATGAGGCTTTCCATGTACTGGATGCATATTGTGTTGCTGCTTGGAGCCTCGGTGGAACATAACTAAAATGCTGTTCGAAGCAGCCTCAGTCTTCTTGCGCATGTCAAGGTGCGCCTTTCTATCTTGGGAAAACTGAAGCCCTCTATCATACCTAGTGAAAAATCACTCTGCATATCCCACCAGCAGCCAAGACTATTGTCTTGTGAAAAGCCAACAATGACAAATGCTGCAATCCATTACCACCTGTCTTCAAATCCTTCCTCTCTCAAAGAATCCAAGCACAGTACAATCCGCACGGTTTGTGACCATTTCGTCGAGACAGCCCTAAAGGTCGGCGAGCTTCTCTACAATTTCGAGCCCCGTGGCAAAAAGGTAGTACTCGATTTGGAAGCCGCCTTGCATGCAGACGGCGAGCTTCGTCGTGGGTGGTGGGGGAGCGCCCGTAAAGCCAGTGACAGAGACCCTGTTCTTGCTACTGTGCGATATTTGGATATCGGTGATGTCGGCAACGACATCAGGGTTCAGGTAGAAGGAACCTTGAATCTCGTATACGAGCTGTGCGGTGACAGTATCTGACTCACCAGGCCACGCGCTCCGTCGTGAGGTGTGATTTCAAAGTCTCCGCTTGCCTTGATTTCTGCTAGTACTGGGAAACCCTGGTTCCAGATTTTAGGAATAGACTTGAAGCCAGAGAAGTTGCCGCCAGTGGCATAGCAACCACACTCGATAAAATCTGCTCTAGTTGTCAGCTCAGCTGCCCGGCGGCCCCAGATGATGGACCAGGAGATTTACGCACGGCCAGCAAGTAGTGATCCTGCTAGCTGATTATAGTCGGTCTCCTTCCATTCATGCCACCATGCTGCAGCACCTTGGGGAGACAAAATGTATTAGCGGTAGGCTGTGACAACCGCCAAAGATCAATGCGCTTACCCATCGCAGGGCTAGCGTCAGAGGATCTTCCGGAAATGATAATGTCGGCGCCTCAATGATGCCCGACATGCCCAAAAAGGCGTTGGCGCTGACTATGGGTTTGGTGATGTGTGACAAGTCACGGCCCTTGATATCAAGGTGCGGAGCAGAGCTGGGCGACTTCAGCGTGTCTAGCAGACTCAGGACATTATCTCCCTCGACGTATGCAACCTTGAGGCTGGTGATTCCATACGACTCAAGCAGCTGCCGATATTGCGCTGCGAGCCCTGCTAGGTTGAATGTTCCACCGTCGTGGATAATTTTGATGCCATTGGCGGCCACGATGTCAGCGGTCTCGCGGTCTAGCTGGCGAAGAAAACCCGCATCGTACGTAGCCTTTTTCAGGGTCCACCTGCTTCTCCAAAGCAAGCCATGCTACGTTTTGGCAGGATTCGATGCAGAGATCTTGTTGTCGCCAATGGAGAGGTGTTTGCCATAACTACGTCGTATATCAACCGGCCCCTCCCTCACTGCGTGATACAGAGCCAAGGGCCAGTCACCGAACGCGCCACTGACATTTGCAACACGAATTGAGCGCCTTGTTCCAGACATGTTGAAAGAGTCTTCTGATGTGCATTCAAACTTCTAGCGAAAGAATTCTCCAACAATCAAAATAGTAAGTAGTAGAATACTTACAGTCACCACTCCTCGAATCCTGTTTTACTAGTACGAACGGAAGACCCAGATTCCTGGCACCACCTTCGTTGTCATACTTTTCTGACATCAGCAGCCCCAAGCAATCTCAACGATACTACAAGGATGGACTCTGCAGCTTTCAGTCTACATAAGACCTTCCGGGACAACGTAATCTAAGTATGAGTAGTCCAGGTCCACCGAGCACTTTAGAGCAACCATGCAGCCGAAGCCGTACTCTGTGAGCCGAGAGGCCGACCGCATCTTTCGTGAACATCTCCTCAAGGACAAGCGACTGCAAATTCCCTCTAAAGTAGTGGCCCTGGCAGGCAAGACATTAATTGACGCGCCTAATACAATCGATACCGCCTATTTGCCGGTGCCGTTCAAGTTCACCGAGAGCAGCGCCGCCCTATGGGCACTCGCAACCACCTTTGGCAATGCCATAGTGCAGGAGCGATTCGGCATATCGCAAACCGCCCACATCAATACCGATGTTGCAACCCTGTTTCTCATATCTGCTGAACTTGCCACTGTCGACGGCAAGCCACTCAATGACCCCGAGCTCGTTCCTAGACTCCTCAAGTTTGACCTAGGGCGCTCCATGGACCCATACCGACGCTTCTGAACCACCATATATCGCACGAGGGACGACCGTTTCTTCCATCTCCACGGTAGCATGAATCTGGACAGGTCGCTTGCCATGATCGGCTTGCCACCCAGCTACGACACGGCTTCTTCCCCTGAGGACATCTTCCAGTTATACGCGTCCAAGATGGTCGAGTTTGACGCTGACTGGCTTGACACCGAGGCAAATGAGTACTGGCGCCAGGCTGGAACTGTGTGCCTCCCAGAAGATGAGTTCCACGCCAGTGCTCAGGGCAAGGCCATTCAAAACGACGGGCTCTACCTCGTCCAGCCATCAGACGTAGGCATTCTTGGGCCTGTTCCCTATCCAAATGTCCAAGACGCCAGCCGTCGCCTACTGTAAGGGTTGTATCTCCTAGACCTCTCACGCGTCATCGCCGCGCCCACTGTGGTCAAGCTGGCCGCCCTTTTCGGGACCACTGTGATTCGTGTATCGAGCACCTCGCAGCCCGACATGAGACCGGTCCTCGTCGAGGGCAACCTTGGCAAGCGCGATGTATCTCTCGACCTGAAATCCGAAAAAGGTCGCCAGACGCTGCGACAGCTCATCCTCGACGCGGACATTGTGCTTGACGGCTACCGGCCCGGCGCCCTGGAGCGTCTCGGCTTTGGTGAGTCCTACATACTCACCCTAGCCAGGCGGCGTGGGCGCGGAATCATTGTCGTTCGCGAAAATTGCTACAGATGGCACGGCCCGATGGCCTCACGATCATGTTGGCAGCAGATCTCCGACTGCTTCACGGGCGTCTCCTGGGGGATGGGCGAGTTCCTGGGCCTCAAGGAGCCCATTGTGCCGCCGCTGCCAAACTCGGACTACCAGACGGGCATCGTAGGCCTGCTCGGCGTCCTGGCTGCCGTGGACAAAAGGGCGAACGAGGGAGGTAGCTACACCGTCGATGTCTCCCTGAACCAGACTAACCAATTTCTTCTAAGTCTAGGCAAACTCCCTCCAGAGGTCCAGGCCAGTCTGCGCGCGCTGCATCCTGACTTTGCGCCCCGCCGCTCAGATGACATGGGAGCCCTCATAACCAAGTATCTACAGACAGCATGCACAAATACGCCAACGTTATTCAAGCCCAGGTATTTCAACCAAAGGGAGAGTAACTATGGTCGAGCAGACGGAAAGCTCGAGATGCTTAGATTCGTTACGTCTCCGACTAATTTGGATGTCACAGCGCTTGGATACGATGTTGGCAGTTGTTTCCACGGCGCGTACGCCCCTGAGTGGCCTGTCCAAAGTGCCTGATCCCAGTTTAAAACAGAAATAGCATTGCGTATCCTGGTTCAGTTACGAAGACATTAGAGCATGAATCTGAAGACGTGTCAGAAAGTTCTCATAGTAGCGCAGAGTCTTACGCTCGTTGAGGGACAGTCATCAGGGGCTAAGAATGATACATGCAGCTTAGGATAATCTGCCAAAGCACAATTGAAAAGATACACAACATCTATTAGCTGTATCACCAAGTCCTTGGCAACTATATAGATAAAATGTTCAGGACGATCCAAGGCTTCCAGTCATATTATATTCTTTTTCAAATTCGTAGTACTAAAAATAAAAACATGCACATGATAGGCGGGTTATACTAGATACGGGCTTCTTCGTTAGTTACAGCCACGTCCAAGATAAGCATAACCTAGCATTCAACCCAAGAACCGCATTCGAGCATACGAAAGGACCCGTTGATACATGTCCGGATATCCATAATAGGAGGCCAGCCAAGCTACCACACCAAGCCCAAGGGCAATACGTAGGCACCATGACCTAGTACCAGACGCGATTTTCTGATCCTGTAACGTCTCCCCTCTCCGAGACCTACCCTTGTTCGAGACAGCAACCATACCCTTATTCTTCGCATTAAACGGCAGATACCGGAACCCCATGAAACGGTCCAGCCACGTCGGTGGCATAGTGACAATTCTTAGGTGCGTAAAAGACTGGAAGCCGTACTCGCCATGGAAGGCTCCCATGCCGGACTCGCCTACGCCTCCAAACGGGGCATTGGGCACACCCGCGGGGAACAAGGTGTCGTTGATGGTGACACCGCCCGAGAGGGTGCGGTCCTGGATGTAATCGGTCTCGTTCTTGTCGGAGCTGAAGATGTACAGGGCTAGGGGCTTGGGTAGGCTGTTGGTCACGGCAATGGCGTCGTCGATGGTACACGGGATGACGGGACATATGGGTCCGAAGAGCTCTTCGCTCATGATGGCGTCTGTAGGTTTCACGTTGGTGACAATGACGGGTGCCATGCGGCAGTCTACCGCTGGAGCTTCACCGCAGCGGATGATAGTGCCGGAGGATTTGTCGAGGAGTGATGTTAGGCGGTCGTGGTTTCTTTTGTTGATGATTCGACACATGTGGCCTGTAGCGGCGAACTCTCGCGTCCAGTGCTCCAGCCGTGCGACAAAGGCGTCGTGCACGGCTGGGTCGACGAGAACGTGGTTGGCAGTGAGGCAGATCTGGCCCGCGTTAGTGAACTTGACAAGAGCGATGCGTTTGGCAGACAACTCGATATCGGCGGTCTTGGTGACGAATGCGGGACATTGACCGCCTAACTCTAGAGTTGTCGGCGTTAGGTGCTTTGCAGCAGCAGCAGCGATAAAACGAGCGATCTTAGTTGATCCTGTGAAGAAGATGTAGTCGAATTTACGTTCCAAGAATCGCGTCGTTTCCTCCGGTCCTCCTGTCACCAGACGAATGCACGACTAGTCCATGTATCTCGATACCAAGGACGCCATGGTCCTTTCAGACGCTGTCGCGAGCTCCGATGGCTTGATGATGACGCAGCAGCCAGCGGCGATGGCGGCAATGACGGGTTAAAGTGTAAGGAGAAAAGGAAAGTTCCAGGCGCCAATTATAAGCACGACGCCGCGTGGCTCTCCCCGGATACGTGCTCTGCCAATCCACCCAACTATGCCAGAACCAGGAACAGGCGTGGTTTCCACCCATTTTTCTACGTTATTAATGTGATGGAGGATATCCATCTTGAGTCCCATGAAGTCGGTCGTCCAATTCTCCATTTCATGCCGTCCAAGGTCGCTTGTCAGGGCTTCTTGGATCTCGCGCTCGTTGTCTTCGATCATCCACCATGGCTGTTTCAGCTGCCACTTGCGCCATTTAATGGATTTAGTTTTTCCAGATGCAAAGCTTTCATTCAGCTCCCGGTGGATAGCAGTGAAATCGAATTCTGTTTTCGTGTTGCCATTTTGCGTGGCGGTCTCAGGGCTCACCATAATTGTCTTCGACTCAATCTGTCTGCTAATAGGGGATTTTTTTTGCAGATGAAAAGGAACACGAGGCGCAGGACACATGTATAAACCAGTGGTGAGTTCAACAGTTCACGCAAGTCGGCAGAGAAACTTGAGGTTGGTGCAATGGGGTCTGGTGTGAAATAAATATCGGTGTCGTAAGCACACGTCAGAAAAAGATGATACTACCCACAGTTAATGCCGAGGTGCCATTGGAATCCATGCAATCATCTTTGTCGCCATTATTGTACTACAAGAGGGTAGGAGGTTCATCTTGAAGCCTCGCAGCATCATCTAAACAAGCCGTGTTTCTTCAAAGTTCACGAATCATCACCCAGCAGATATGGATATCCTCAACTCAATCATCGGTTTTCCCTCAACTCTCGAAGCAGCAGCCCCAAGAATCAACATTATCTCCAACACCGCACGAACATTATGAAAAGGCAGTTTCTTTGGTGGCAGCCTAGCTGCAGCTTGGTTGGTGAACCGTTGGCTGTCCCGCAGAGCGCTGAATGGGGGCAATGCCCCATCCAACTATCACTGGGACAAGGAAATTATACTGATAACGGGCGGCGCAGGTGGCATCAGTGAGGAAATTGTCAAATATTTTCAGACTCGGGACACTACAGTGGTTGTCCTAGACGTGCTCCCTCTTTCGTACACACCAGGTAAGTGAAGCCCACCTTTGAAGCCTGCAATCAATTGGCAGTGCTGATTTGCGCGCCTTGACGCTAGGCAAGAAGACGCATTATTATAAGTGTGACATCACTAGCTATGACAATTTGCAAGTAGTCGCCACACGTATTCAAGAGGAGGTTGGCGAACCGACGGTTGCCATCGCCAACGCCTGCATTTGCAGGGGCAAGCCGATCCTTGAAGCTTCCAAAGAGGCCGTTGAATTTTGTGTCTTTTCTTTTCCATCAGACAAATTGTGACTGTTTCCTTGCGCAGATTGTCACTGACGTACGAAAGGACTTTCGGCATCAACAACCTGGCCGTCCTTTGGACGGCAAAAGTATTCATGCTAAGCATGATTAAGAACAATCATGGCCATTTCCTAGTAGTCGCTTCTCAAACAGCATATTCCTCGACACCCGGTCTGACGGACTATTCCGCCACCAAATCAGCCGCCGTAGCCATCTACGAGGATCTCCATAGCGAGGTTCAATACATCCACAAAGCACGCTCTGTCCGCGTCTCCTGCGTCTCTCCCGGTGTTGTTGACACCAACATATTCGTGGGCATCAAGCTAGGCCTCGGTATATCTGCCCTGACACCACAGTATGTTGGGACTCAGATTGCGGACATCATACTCGCAGGAAGAGCCAGGAACGTTTTCATTCCCGCTTCAGCAGGCTTCTCGGTCATTCTGTGTACAATGCCTGACTGGTTTCGTGCTGCGATGAAGCCTGTTAGTATGGGCATATTTGAAAATCTCACGCCCTATGACCCGATGAACAGTCAGCGGAGGAGGGAATAGTTAGATGTATACATCCAGTAATGGATTGACCATGAATAGAGCGATTTTGGCCTTGTGAATCGAGTGAATCGAGAGAATACCTGACGGAATCAGGATTGTAATGGTGTTGTAGAAAAGAGTGTTCCGTTGATTCTGTTGGAAGCGTAATATCGCCGTACTTGCAAGTGTGATATCTCGTTCAATCTTCCGCAGGGTGACCATCTGCTTGTTCTTCAACACTCACAATTATACTCGGCAATTTCATTTACATAGTTCCTCGACTAAGGTGGAGCAAGGGGGGTGTCTCACACATGAGACGAATATGCTGTTGACGCGCCTGCAGGACATCCGACATTTGCTCCACTCCGGCTTTGTTCTCGGCTCTTATCTCTTCTCCGGTAGCAGCCGAAGCGTATGCTTTAAAGCACCATGCTGTTCAGGACTCCACATCCTACACCACAGTTTCCTCAGTCGACAATAGGTGTACTGTACCCATAGTAATACAACAGTTCAGCGTAAACCAAACTACGTAGTAGTGCTTCCGCAATGTATCGGCCTAGAACAACAGGATATGAACCCCTGTTTCCGACAGCAGTGAATGGCTGGTCAGCGCATCGCATGCATGATCCCCCTAGCTAGTGTTCCCTTGGCTTGGCGTACTATGATTGATATACTTCAACCTTTCTTCCTCGACTATCGGTGGTCGTGGACTAGACTAAAAACAACAACTTGAACTTAAGCACCTACTACTCGCATCTACGATGCCTCTCAGGATGGAAAGACCAAATAGCACCGCGTCCAAGGAAGATGGCAGCATCAACAAGACTAGCAAAAATGAGAGCCGCAATGGTTGTGGACGCGTTTCCAAGTAAACCAGCATGGCGAGGAAGAGGGCACAGAACCGGATCGCACGACAATATCTTCGAGAAAGAAGGGCCGCGAGCAGCCGGCATGCCGACAGAATTTCAGACACGATGCAGATTATCGCTGAGCCCGAACGGCTGACAATGCTGCTTGAAGCCCAGGCAAAGCTCACTAAAGAGAATCAACGGATGGAGGACGCCCTTTTCCGTATGCGGAAAAAGTTGCTTAGCTTAAGTAATGCCGCAGCTACTGCTGCCGATGACCCTATTTTTGATGAGTTTCTGGGGCGAAAATCATCATCGAGCAATTGCTCTTTAGGGGAGCTACAAGAAGCTATGCCCACTACGACTAGAGAGTCTCTAAGGCAAGACCAGATCTGTTCAGCGCTACCGTCACAGGAGACACAGAGTTTGGAGAGCGGCCATGTACAGGCATTTCTCGAAGCATCTTCGATTGCTAAAGAGCAAGGCCCTAGTGAACTGTTAACTTTTGGGCAAGATTTCCACTTCCAGCCAGGATACGGTGCCCAACTTCAAGAATACAGACTTCTTTAATGCATTGGAGGATAGCCAACAGACCTCTGCCTATAACTCCAAAACAACGCCTCTACCGGCCTGCGCCTCACCCTGGGACATATGCTCTTTTGCGCCACTAGAAAAGATCACCATCTGCAGTGCTATCGACTTCTCAACCAAAATGCTCCAAGCAGCACTGAACTGCAGAGCAGGCATCCGAGATACGGTCACGGTAGCGCACCTTAACACTGACCAGATCACGCAGTTGGTTTCAGTCGCGACTGTAAACCTGTTTTCAACATGCGCAGGAATGCAGCCATACCTCTATGGAGTCAATGCTGCGGCATACATGAAGAAAGTTGTCCACTTGCGGCTCACAAAGGCAGACCGCTCTTTGGTGCTGCAACCGTTCCGACCTACGCCGTTACAGAGCCATTTTTCTGAGAGCACTCTCTGTCCTGTAGTTGATTTTCAGCCCTCGCCTGAGATCCGCGACCAATTTCTACTCATCGGAGACAAGATCGACGCCAACGCGTTCTCCCGGGACCTTGTGCTTAATACGGTCGTCGAGGTTCCTGACCGCAATGTGGCGGTGCCTATCTGGGGACAATTCCAGCAACTGCACGAGGGCTCACAATCCAACATGTTCACCACTGACGCTCAGGTGCCGCGGTCGACGAACGATAAAGGCTGGGTCTTCTGCGAGATCAACCGAGTAAATCGTGACTTTCAGTTCTGGGCTGCCGACCCTGTTGAGGAGGCCCTCTCGCGGCAACTATTGCGGCGCATACAGGAATGGAGTACCGGCAACGGCCTCTCCTAGTTGTTCAAGACCGAGCATGACCAGCAACTCGCTGCGAGCACACGTATCGAGTCACCCTTGGTGGCCTTGGACTCCAGATTCCGTCCGGAAAAGACAGACCTGGCTCAAAGATTAGCCGCGGCAGGTGAGTGGAAGCTTAGCAAAGAATTCAAGGCAAAGTACCTGCAGTTCGACTACTCTTCAGGTAAGTAAGGCCCGGCTCCGCAAGAAATGTATGCACTGCTTACTGATCTAACCGTACAGTCTGTATATCTTTCGATTCGGCGCTGGTCTTGCCATCGGTTCTGTTGTTGATTTAGAAACAGATGCTTGCTAGATCAGCCAATATGGTATGTGCAATATGACTGAATAAACGAAATAACTTTGCCCCTCGAATATGAACGACGGATAACTTGTTTGTGCACATTAAAGGAATACTAGTGCATGATGTACTTGCTTCTGACTGACGGATTTGTTCTAGAGTGTTCTAACGATTCGGGGAAATAATCTAATATGAAACACACACTTACGTGCTTGTTTCGAATATAACAACCAATCAATGGCGTTGAAGTTCTGGTCTCGTGTTTCGCAATGCAACCAACCACCGGGCGCAGTCGAGGTGGTGAAACACGACCCTCAGCGATCTACGCGTATTTACCCGCTGGTCTACACAGATCTGGCATGGCATGTTTACCGACATTAACACGGAGATGGAATGCGTATGCATTCGTGGATTTCCCCACTCATGTTTATATAAGAGTGGATCAAATTAATCTATTATGAGAAGCTTAGCCTGAGATTAAGCAATGTCGGCAGGACTTAGGAAGCTTAATCTCTTGCAAACTAGCGTCGAGTGGACACAAAATGCCTCTTGGTAGGCGGATAAAATCTCGCATCCTTGCAAGCGACGGGATGGAGTTTTCCCCTGTAGCCAATCTGAGCAAAGTAGCCAACTTGGAATTAATGAAATCGGACGTAGTGTGGATTAAGCTTTAGCCAAGTAGAGGTGGTCAAGGTGGGGAGCCCGATCAGTATTTGACGAACCAGGGGGATGTGATCTGAATATAAAGAGTAGTAGTCCAAACTACAAAAGTATCTATCCTTGAGTCCAACTCAGTACCGTTCGTTAACTACATCAATCGCTTCCGCAAAACCCTTAAGAAAACATTCATCATGGTCTCTTTTACCACCGGTCTTGTCGCCTTCGCGACCATCATGGGCGTCATCGCTGCCCCTGTAGAGGGTCCCGCGGACGTCGCCATCTCGAAGCGCAGCAGTCCCAACAGCTCGGGTACCAACAATGGTTTCTACTACCAGTTTTGTGAGTGACAGCCTCGTTCAATGCTAGAGCAATCCTACTAACCTAACGTATAGGGACTGATGGTCAGCGTGGCAGCGCCACATACACGAACAAGGCAGCTGGCGAATACTCTGTAACATGGACGGGCATCTCAGACATGACATCCGGCAAGGGCTGGAAGTCCGCGCAGCCGAGGAACATTACTTTCACTGGCAATGTCAAGGCCCAAGGCAACTTCTATCTTGCCGTCTACACTTGGTCGCAGCACGGTGAAAACTACGTAAGTCTTTCCATCGCCAATGTTCGCTGGACTCCCTGTCTCACGCTTAAAAATAGATTCTTGAGGACTACGGCTCGTACAACCCGTGCAGCCAAGGCAAAACAGTTGGTACCATCACCAGTGATGGCAGCGAGTATCAGATCTGCACTGTTGACCGTGGAAACAACTACATTCAGAACTGGTCGATCCGCCAGAACAAGCGCTCCAGCGGTACGGTCACTACCGCAAACCACTACAATGCGTATGCTGCGCACGGCTTGACCCACAACCCGCTCAGCGAAGCGGCCTACCAGATTGTATCTACTGAAGGATTTGGAAGCTCTGGTTCGGCTGACATCACAGTGTCTTAGTCATTGTGCTCTTACTTTGTTCGTTTCTACACTTCAGACTGTATATCTTATCTTAGCTCAGAATTTTACTCTTACACTATCATATTACTGAACCAGAGAGATTACATTCTGTATCACGTGAAATATTATAAGTTAATAGCGTCCTATCACGAAACCTTGGACCGAAGGCCCAAGAAGGCCAATCATTGCAGATTAACTGGGGATTTATTGGGCATCTCTTGGGTTGATAGAGTCTCGATCACGTGTACAGAGCATATAGACCCATCTAACCCTCAAGTAACTCGTTGAGGCTTCGTCTCAACTCACTCTGATTGATATCTTTTGTACTTATTTGTGATACATATCATATCTTGGGCCAATCGAGTCACAGCGTATCTGAGCAAGTTCACATGACATACCTGTTCCTCTATCAGGATTCGTTCGAATAGAGAGCTTCGTGTCCCCATCTCGAAAGCTCAGGTCCAAATCATGAGACATGATTAGTTCTGTACTACAACGTGATTAGCCTCTGGTGTGTATACCATGATGGATATTCTTTTGAGCCCGCAAAGGGCCTAGCATGTCACTTCTTTAGCCTCGCATTTCATCATTTCCAAGACATGTTGATTTGTAAGGCGTCCTTACTCAAAGCCCTGGTCAGTTGCAATCTTGCCCAATGGATTATGTGCTAATTGTAGTAGGCCATGACGGCAATGGTAAGCCTGCTTGAATTTGGATATATAGTCAGCGCCAATATCAACCGCACCTTGACTATAGGCATTGTTCACCCTTGAATACTTAAATATGCAGATTGAGACTTTGCGCGTTTCAGAAGCGGCAAGAATAGTCATGAACTTGACTCTGCACAAAAGAAACCTTGACCGTGGCTCATACCAAGAATGTAGAAGATCATCTTTTGTTGTATATGGTTTGTAAAAAGAACACGCTTTACTTCAAGCACCGCCTCTGTATGTCGTGTGAGTCTCATTTTTCGCAAGAAATCGGTTCGCTCGCTGCCATGCGCTAGTCAATATCCGACATTGACATGAGCTGTCCGCTTTCTACTGATTTACCGATGCATATCAAAGGCTTAGTCTGACTTCCTTGATGGGCACGCTACTCGAAGATTTTACCGAGAGCAAATGATTTACTCTTCTCGATACATGCTACCTTGACTCCAGCAGAACAATGCTTTCAGCAAATGGATCGCATCAACGACGAACTGAAAGCGTGGCTAAACTTGATTCCCAATAGGCTGCGCCCAGGTTCGTCATTGCGTCAACATCGATCTAGGCCTCTGTATACGCAAGAAATGGTATTGAGAATTCATTGCTCATATTGCAATCTGAGAATTTTTATATCACAAATAATTCTCAACCGGTGCCCCAAAAAAGGATCTCAGTGAAAATCCAAAATGAGAAGTGTTTGTTGACAACAGCACGCGCGATCATTGAGTCGACCTACATGATTGCTATGAGCCCCTTCACTCTCATGTGATGAATTTCTTCGAGGTGACAAAATCAAGTGGGAAAAGCCGCTAACAATGCTTCCAATGTTCATTGTCTTCGATTTCGTCGTTCACTGCCCACTCCATTCCGAGACCAGGAGAAACCTGTCGTACCTTGACATAGTTGCTGCTCACTATGCTAGACTCGAGTTGTTAGCACAAGGCACCATTCAGGATGCCAGGTTCGCGGATTTTATGTCCATCGCACGTTTCTACATTGATTAGTCAACCGGAGATCCTGCAAATATCGCCAACAATACTAGTTCAGTTGGTGGACCCAGCATCCTCCGAGAATCACTAGACGACAGTTCACTCGCAGTTGAAAATCCTGATTTCATGTCACAATCTGACTTTGAGCAGCCATCGGCTATATGAGGCCAATAGTATGGTATGCTTCCTTTCTTGTGTAATCATCGAAGGTCCTTCCTATCAACTCTTGCTTCTCAAGATTTCTCTCGTCTTTCGCATTGCGACAAACGCGTTGACCTTTTCCAGGTGAATTAGATGGACAAATGCCGAATTTCATGTGCTGGAACAATATTTTCTAGATTTCCCAGGCCCAAGCGCCTCGTTTTACATGACCCTGCCAACATCTGCGTACGACATGGCTGGTTCCTTCGGAGATTCGCTCGGCTGGATACCGGATGGTAGTCTCGAGCTACAGATCACTAACCTAGCTTCTTTGAGAACTACGCAATAGATGACACACAAGACTAAAGTATACGAGATAGCCTAATTTTGAGTCAAACTCCTGGGGCAAAAGATAGTGACTGGAAAGATACGATGCGCAACGATCCCAGCATTTCACCGAGTTATGATGATAGATAATCATCTATTATTTTTGCAAAGAGAGTTTGTAATATACACTCAAAGTAACCTGTTGGTGTTGCTTATCGGATACAAATGTGCGAAAGGGGAAAGAGAGTGAAGCGTTACCCTGTTTGTAAAGGTCTTGCAATCAGACATGTAAGGACTAATAGAACAAGATACGACTGGAAGACTTCACTGCCAGTAGCAGATAGGATAACATGATATAGAAATCCTCAAAAATCCCAATTGCAAATGTCTTTGGGCTGGCAGCGTTTGCCGACGACGTACGACGTTCAGTGAAGGTAATGACAAACTCAAATGCTGTCACTCGCTCGGGCGCCTGGAACAACAAAGCCTGGGTCACCACTGTGGAAATTATACTCATCGCGACATTAATGCAAGCTTCCATCTCTACCTTTACCTCCGTTAGCCGGATTGTATGGTCGTTCGCAAACTCATGCGGTCTTCCATCCATCGCCTTAGCTACCCATGTATATCCTAACATGCGGGCTCCAGTGAATGCAAACCTGCTCTGTGCAGGCATTAGAATCACACTGGTCACGCTTCAATTTGCGCCTTCACACGTCCTCGACCCTCTTTACGGGTCGGGAGTGATCTGTGTCCTGTTTTTCCTATGGAATACCCATAACCTTGTTGTTGGCACGCGGATGACAACGGTTGCTACAAATTCGCTATTTTAGCCTCAGGAAGTTCGCACTCTTGTTTAGTGCCATGAGCTAGTCTGGCTTCTGTGGACTTCCATTGTCTTCTGCATCCCTCTAGGTTATCCTGTCGCCGACGATGTCATGAATCGGGCTCCTGTTGTGGGAGCAGCTACTACCTTAATCTCTCTTATCAACTTGCTGGTTGAGAGACACACGTATGAACTTCATGAGGCTTTTTTCATCGTATAGATAGCCTTCATGATGAAGGCTTGCAGAATAGGTTCGGAACATTGCAAAATATCTTATTTATCGAGCTTGTAGAAGAATGAAGGGGCTGAATTATCGAGATCAAATCTTATATTGGTAAAAGATGAACGCATTTAGCAACGCTGTACTTGAGATTAATCAGTGGAATCACCGAAAAGGTTTCATTGACTCATCTTCTAGTGATAATAGGTGGACTACTTGCCAAAGCTTTGAGAGCTATTATGCTGACGACTTCATGCTATCGAAGCTTCGAACTAACATCTCAATAATTAGTCCAGCAGTTTATCCTGATAGAAAACCCTTAATCTAAACAGTACGTAATTTTCATGCTTCTATCTGCGAAAGAATAAGGATTACTTAGATATGCATTCGATTTCTTGATGGAAGTTCTTCTGTCTTGATTTGATAGCCATTTTAATCCTGGTACAGCCGTTTGCTATACTTAAAGCGGTATGGCGTTAGCAAATATAGCCAAACAACGACCAGAAGACATCCCTGGCCAATGTGCGGCGAAATACGTAGATGATTGGTGGCAAGTGTGCCAGCCAATCATTGCGATGGGTGTCACCAACAGGAGACTTGGACGGTTAAGCACCGCAGATCTGCTAACAATATCTATGTGCTCTAAGCTCTCGAGATTAAATTTTTTTTCTCTTTAGCTATCTTTGCCAAGTCCTTTTCGCGATCAAAGTTCGTTATTACTCTTGTAGTTGCTGCGTAGTTGCATTCGAAACCTCGCGAGTTTTGACGCATAAATACTTCGCATCACTCCGTTCTAAGGAACTATTGGTCACCAGGAGTCCACTGGTTTCCTTCACCTATTGTCGCAATTGCTCCCGCTTCTCTAGATGGTGGCCACAGTCACCAGGTACTGTTCCCCTTAATTTATAGAGATCCGTTTACTCCGTATCTTGCGGCTGTAACGGGGAGGGCTAAACGCGTGAGTCGTATCTGCAGGGAAGATGCGGCGTAAAAGGAAAACTAAATAGAGTTTATTTACCAAGAATGCGAATGCGGATTAATTCACGACCTGAAGTCCTTGCCAAAAGTCTTATACGCAGTATGTAGTCTGTGCATCTGTGTATACTATCACGCTATTATAGGCCTATGCACGTTTTAAAGCTCTAGTCATCGGGCCTTTATAGGCTAGAACTTGTCTTTTCGGCTTTAGGTATTATATTTTAATTTATGCGTATTATATAAGAACACCATTCTACAAAAAAACAGTTTAACTATGAATGTGGTGATGATAGAAACGATAGGGGCAGCATGGCTTTCATCTGCTTACAGCATTGAGTATTGGCTAAACGCAGACTGCCCGAGGTTAGATCTCCGCGTTTAAATATATTCGCTTATTTTATTACTTTGCAGGGCGATTGAGGCCATTTAGGTCTCTAGTAACACGTTCACTGTAGGGGTTGCTATAAGAGGATCCTGTTCGCAAGAGCAAGTAGACATCATCTCTTAACAGCTACCTATCGCCCCATCATCCCATAATCCAACAATCCTGCATTCAAGATGCGCGCCACTCTTCTCGCCGCTCTTTTGGCTACTACTGTTCCCGTAGTAGTAGCTCGTTGGAACCAAAAACTATGCAATGGAGCCGGAGGCTGCATTCATGCCGGCTATGGTACTAACGACCCTTTTCTCTGCCCCGACGGTAGTACTCTAAGCACCTATGAGTTTGCGAATGACCAGTATAACGCCGGGTTGGGCAATAATGTTCCTGCCGGCAAAGAGGAATTCCCCGAGACTTGCATGGACGGCAATGTCCCTCCTTCTGCAGGAGTTGAACTTGTCGTAAGTAGCCTTTTCTCATGTTATGCAAATGATGCATATGCTAACCACGACTAGAAATCCCAATCAAGAAACAACCAAACCATGTACTTTTATCTTAGGAACACTCGTGACAACACGAACCCAGAGAAGTTCAATTGCTACTCCCGCGATCCTAACCCATCAATGTAAGTTTTTAGCAAGGCGTATGTGAAAAATTTTCGCTTTCTAACTCTTATCAAGCTACACCGTTTGCGCTATGTACGATCCAAGCGGTAAAAGGTGCAAGATCAACTTCTTGCCTAGGCCCCCGATCGGAGAGTTAACCTTCACACACATCCGTCGGAAACCGTGAGGGTCAAGTTACTTAACTTTCAACTCTTGGCGCATAATCTGGAGGCTAGGTCTCTTGTAAGGGCTGCGATCAGTAGAGTGATGGTTTGGGTACGTAATTAATTGTATTTGATTGGAAGCTATCGAACTTCACCGTTCACTATAATAAATGATTTTTAACTACTATCAATTTCGCCCGTGTCATTTATTTCAAGGTACAACAGCTTTGTGTAAGGTAGCTTGAATTAGTACCAAGGAAGCAAATGTACATGTTGCAACATGTTCTTTGTGACATCATTGGAAGACTTGTGGTGCGGGGTATTGGTCTTGATCCCTGAGAGTAATCACTGGAAGGTTGTGTGCCCATGGATCATGATCGATCATGATAGTCGGGCATTATACTACAGTTTTGGGACTGTTTACAGGGGCTATATATGAGCCTCGGAGAAACATATACTACACAGTCAAGATAGTAAAGCACAACGATAACAGAGACGCCAAGGGCCCGCATGCACCACGTCAAACAAGCGGTAAATTTCCGCGATGTTCGGTACTTAGTTGACGGACTTACGGAAGCACCGCGATCACAGCCTACTAAACTGGACTATTGTGTTGACTAGCGGCGGGCGCTATGCAGGGCCAAGGCCGGGACGTGCCCAGGAATTCGCTTCATAGGGTAACCAGCAAGTCAGAGAAAACTTGGCCAGCTGGGGGGAGTGCCTGTCTGTAGCAGGGTAACCTGCATAAAAAGAATGCTGAGTGAGACTGAAACATCCGTGGTACGATAGTCACGCTTGAAAAAATGAATTCCGCGTCATTGCATTGCATTCCGCTGTGTTCAAGCCCGGTATAAGTCGTACGTATATGTAGTACTAGTAAGCTGCACCCCAGACTGCACCCCAGATCGACAATCTCTCCACAATCCTTCAAGATCCTCACGATCTCCCACGATCCCCGACAAAACAGAGGCGGAGAGAGGAAGAATCCGACGAAAAAGAGCAGGAGAAGCAAGAAGAAAGAACAGAAGCATGGAGATCATCATTGTTGGCGCTGGCCTCGCCGGGCTCTCGACTGCACTAGCCCTCTCGCACTCGCTCTCGGGCACCAGCCCCAAGCACCGTATTCTTCTTCTTGAATCCGCACCTCAGCTGGCTGAGATCGGAGCGGGCGTGCAGCTCACACCCGTGGCCACGCGTTTCTTCTTGCGGTGCGGGCTGGGCCCAGCGCTGCTTGATGCCTCGGCAGTGCCGTCATCATGGCACCTGAGGCGTGGAAGCGACGGCGAGGTACTGAACCGGGTGCCGATGGATCGATTTACGGAGTGGTACGGGGCGCCGTATATAGTTGTGCACCGGGCGGACCTGCATCGAATCCTGTGGGAGGCGCTGGTCGCGAGACAAGGGAAGGAGGCAGCGGTAGACGTGGAGATGAGGCTGGGTACCCGCGTGGCCGAGTACGGAGTGGAGGAGGGATGGGTGCAGGTGCAGGGCGGAGAGAGGCTCAAGGCAGATCTGGTGATAGCGTGCGATGGGATCAACAGCTCTGCGAGAGGCCAACTGATGCGGAGCCTGGGAGCACCGCAACAGGAGTGGGTGGTGGGCACAGGCATGTCTGCCTACCGCGTCATGGCCGACGTGAAGGAGGTGCGGGCCGACCCACTCACTAGGGAGATTGTCGAAGAGCATGCGGGAAATTGCTGGTGCGTCAAAAAGAGACAAAAGAAGATGGCTGACCGTCCGAACACTTGCTGACCATTCCTCAGGGCCGATACCGACAAGCTCGTCATGACATACATGATCCGCGGCTCTGACAAGCTCAATATGGTGCTTTCCCACCCGGACACAGTCGACACCAGCGCCTGGACCCAGGAACAGTACAAGGCCGAACTAACCCGCTTCTACGGAGACATGGACCCGCGCGTAAAGCGCTTGATTGAACTGGCCTCAGGCCCTATCGCCAATTGGCCCGTCCACCAAGTTCTGCCTCTCCCCAGCTGGACATCACGAACCAAGAACTTCGTCCTCATCGGCGACGCCGCCCATGCCATGTCCTTCTACCTGTCCATGGGCGTCTCGCTCGCCATTGAAGACGGTTTAGCGCTCGCTACCGCCTTGGCCCGCCACGTCTCGCGCCCAGAGACCTTCTCGCTGGCTTCCGCTATAACGCTATTTGAAACTGTGCGCAAGCCGCGTGCGGAGAAGCTTAGTGCGGCGAGCCAGCACGCGGGAGACTTGTTGCACCTAGGTCCTGGGCCACAGAGAGATATGCGGGATAGAGCAGCCAGGAGGGACGGGGCCGAGGGCGAGGAGGAGACCAAGGGTGATCCACTACTTGATTGGACAAGTTATGGGATTACGGATAAGAACATTAGGCAGTGGGTCTATGGGCACGACGTATTAGATGAGATAGAGAGTGAGGAGCATAAGATGAGTAAGTTGTGATGAGGTAGATATAGATTTTACATAGTACACGGTGATGCGTCATGAACATCTCTTGCAATATCCGACGGCGCTGGTTGCCTTTGAATATTACCTACTCAAACAACATCTTTCTCTGAGGATCGTATCACTATGATCATACTATCTTACAATACTTTTATCGCTATGTTCTTTCTCTCTAGGCTCTACCAATTCTGCTGCTTCAAGCACAATCTCAAAATCAGCTGTAGTTGTAGAGTTCTTGTTTCTCCAAGTTGAAGTCTAGTTCCAATGGATTGGTCGTGAAAATTTGGCCGTTATGCACAATATATAAAATCTACAAGAAAGAAAAAGCCCTGAAATGCGCCCAAGACACTGCCCTAGCTGTTAACCAGACACCACTCCTCCAACCGCCTACTAATCCCTACACTAGGTATATCCACGAACCTCCAAAAAACATCTGCCGCCCAAATCGTCAAAGTAGTCTGAACAACCCACGAAAGAAAAAGACCCAGTTCATACCGGTACACAGTATCATTTCCTGTGAACGACCACAAGAACAACATACTCCTGTACCCAAAGCTATTGATCATAGCCTGGTGCACGCAATACAACGCAAACGAGATTTTCCCCAGATACTTTGCAAGTTGCGTGGTAAACATGGTCTGTAAAAAGGGTGACCGAGACACCACATAGACGAGTATTACGGTACCAATGGTGACGAATAGATTGGGGCAACGTATCGACGGGCCAAACAGCGTGCTTGCGACGTAGTGGAGCGGAGCCGAGAAAAGGGCCTTCTCACCCTCTGCAGTAGGATACGACGCAACAAACATTCCAAAACCAAACAACAAACTCGACTGTATCTTTTGCTCCCGGGACTCGGTACTCCGGCCCGGCGCAGCAGCAGCAGCAGCAGCAGCAGATTCTTGCCGTATAAGATACAATTCCGCCAGCGTAGTCCCGGCAAGGAAGAGCGTGGCCTCTGGATGATTCTGAAAGAGAAAGTACACCGCGATTGTAGTGGTAATGCTCATTCGCACGGCCTGACGCACTTTTGCGAGGCCAATGAGCGCGAGGAAGCTGATAAAGGAACAGCTGAGTTCAATCGGTATGGTCCAGAGTTGCACGCCGTAAGGCGGGTGTCGGGTCCGGCGCGCAAGCGGGTCGGACCAGGTCCACACCTGCCCCGCCCAGTCGGTGAATTGCTTGGAAAGCGAGTGGTGCGCGATCGGTATCCGTAAAGGTTTGCTGAGAAACGGCCAGTTCTTTGTTAGGGCGTACGAGAAGTCGAAGGCGCCGCAACATGCGACCAGGAAAGTAATTGCGAGTGTGACTAAGCATGGTAGGTAGAGTCTGCATGGGCGCCGGAATGTTGCTGATACCATGGTGTCGAGGAAGGCGCTGTAGGATCCGTTGCGGATGAGCTTTAGTGGCTTGAGCGAGATGGAGAAGCCGGATATGACGAAGAAGAGGGAGACGCTGACGTGCCCGCTGTAGATCAACCGGATGATGGGCAACTGGGTTAACCAGTAGTCTTGATCGTCATTGTAGCCGTTGAATCCCCGGGTGGCCTGCGGATGCGTGGGCATGAAGAAATGGCAGCAATAGACGATGAAGGCCGCATAGCCTCGCATGCCGTCGAGGAAATCCGTCGGACGTATCTCATCTCGAACGGCTGTGGAATTGTGGAAAAGAAAACTCGGTAGTAGATTTCGCACGATCCGGCGATGGATAGATCGATATCTTGTCGAGACGCCGAGGAGTGAAGGAGACAGGAGTCCTTTCTCCGTCTCCCCCAGTGTAGTGTCCGCTATGTTTAGCATCTTTTTGTGTGCAAGGCGAAATGGCCGTTTCCGTTGGTAACTGGTATATAACGTACATTTTGAAAAGGGGGTTTAAAAAGCGACTGTGTAAGTGTATTGATTTCAGGGGCCGTGGCTGATCGCGACTTCCGCGGTCACAAAAAAGAAGATAGTCGAGTGAGGATGACTGTGGCGTTTGTTAGCGCATGCGAGATTTAGACTGAACGGGAGTGATGTTGGCGTCTTTTAGCGCGTTGGCAGTGGCTTGGAGGCGGAACTGATTAGGAGTAGTCCGTAAGGAAACTCCGAGTCATAGCGTAAGCTGAACAAAAGTATTGAGCTCCGTTGGCCAGACCAACTAGTGCCGGAAAACTTTCACATGTCGCGTGTGATATATCCCGATCAAGCGTGTAGGTTCGCTTGCTTCTGAGCCGATGCATGGTGACCATGTATGTTCTGATTAGTCCATTGACTCAGTCTAACAGCTGAACAAGGCTGGGCGCCATTCGCTCCACTGTCATTATCCCTTACATACATGCAACAAGAGAGAAGACAGCCGCAGCATGAACTCGGCTACTAGCGGCGCACGCGAGTGGAGGATGGGCCGTAGTAGTTACCAGGAATCCTTCTGAACCGAAGTTGCCCCGTGAACTGGATATCGAAGCCTCCTCTCTGCCCTACCATAGAAATTGGGCAAACAGGCTGTGGTGACTGCTCGGATTAAGTAATTCCTATTCACTCACCAGCCATCATGTTCTCAAACCATTACATGATCATGCACTCAGTCTGTAGCGGAATAGGATCATAATGAATTAATGATCTGTCATTCAATGGTTCTAAAAAGCACAACATGAACAGACACATCTAAATCAATGAGATACAAGCCGTTATTAGTATCAATTTTGGTTCCGTGTTCGCCAGTGACCATGTGTATCAGTTATGGTTTTTGATTGATAGCTGAAATATATAAAAGGCATATTAACATCATAGACGCGCAAGCTTCCAAAAAGACATTGCTGCTAAAGAACAAAGAGAAAGAATAGAAGTGGGTTCTCTGCCCGCCCACCAGAACTGATCAATGCCAGTGAGGTGCAATCCTCCACATGCACAAGGGGATGTACTTAAACGAGGATGGCGAACTTACCAGGCGCCTTAGCAGGGGCAGACGCCGCCTTGCGACGCTGGAGCACACCACCACGCTTAACATAACCAGCAGATGCATGTCCGTAACTCTCAATGGGCTCATCGTAATCCGACGAGGGGTCAGCGGCATAGGGTGTTGTGCTGGTAGTAGCGTCGCCGGTGCTGTAGCTAGGAACGGTGCTGTAGACGGCAGCAGGGGTGGCAACAGGATAAGTGGAGGTCTGCTCGAAGCTGCAGGTATACGCTTGGTGAGCCTCGGTGACGGTAACTGTCTCGGCAGGGTGATGATAGACACCAGCCTCGTACTGGGTAACGGAGGGATAAGTGACCGTGGTGTCGTGGTCGTAGACGGTCGTGGTAGGCTTGACGATGGTGTATGTTCCGGCTGTGGAGCATGTAACAGTTGTGCTGTGGATGACGGTGTTGGTCACGGTGCCTTGAGTCTCGTATCCGATGTACACGGCGGCGATGGTGGTTGGCTTGGTGACTTCGGTGATTTGACCACCGTAGGTGACGGGCTTGTTAGCCACAGCGTGGTAGGTCTGCTCGGCAGCGACATAGGTAGGGGTCGCGACAGTGATGTCATTGGCAGGCACTGTGTAGATGCCAGGAGCATCGAAAGTGGTCACCACGGGCTTGGGTTCACCGTAGGTAAAGGTGTGCTCATAAGTGGTCCACTTTCCACCAGAGTGCTTCTTGATTGTCACACCCTGCTCATCCTTGTTGCCAGTGTACTTTGGGTTTCCAGGATATCCAGAGATCGCATGTGGTCCCATGTGGTCATAGGCAATCTCGTGTATCTCCTCGTAGAGTTCGTACCATGTCTTGTTAGCGTGGGGTGCAACCGAACCTCCGTAATAGCCAGTCGGGCGAGCATAACCTTCAGGCGTAGCAGTGACAGTGTGGGTGATGGTTTTCTTCGTTTCGTACACAGTTACATCCTGGTTGGTTGCAGTGACAGTGACTTCCTTGCCATAGCCATCAGTGATGACGGTTGAGATAGCCTCGTATTCCGACCACTCGCCGTTGACGTAGGTCGGGACTGGCTGATACTGGGCTGTAACAGTGACTGGCTCTTTGCCGTGGCCGGGATAGACGGTGGTATAGCCGAGCTGGGATGAGGTCGTTGGAACGCCATAGCCATAGTCGGCTGCAACAGCTGTCGCAAGGGAGAGAATGGAGACGGACTTCATTTTCGATGTTAACTATTAAAGAATGACGAAGGTTGGATATTAAACAATAAAATAGCAAGCTACTAAAAGGACTTGAAGTGATGAGCAGAATGCAAAGTAAATTGCAAGAATCTGATGATCAAAGAGTGACTGTGGGTGAAAAAAAAAGATTCTGTCGTGGGTAGGACAGCATAATATTGTATGTACACTGTGAATGGACCACATCCTCCGTGGAGTGCAGCCTTTGCCAAGTTCGGCTATCTCACCGTCACTGTGCATCTCCCGTTTTCTTGGAACTTGGCATTACCGTCAGGAGCTACTAGAAAACCATACTTAGTAATTCTGCATCTGAGTACACAATCGGAACGCCAAGAATGGTGGAGATTAACTACCGAAGCGAACAGCCACCACTTACCGAATATCAGTGCATCGTCTCGTGCCTAATTTCCTTTTCGAGCTACAGCTGAATAGCTGAGAGGCGTTATGTGAACGGCAAGACGCACAGAGCTTAAGTTGGTCTTCTCTAGCCTATAGGGCCAACTAATGCTTGGCTTGGTTGCTTCTTGGCAATTGCAGTCGGTGGAATCGCGGGATGACCGTGGTTTGTCACTTACTCGTAGGTAGCCCGAGAGCTCTGCAGCTAGTCTTTGGTGAGTAGCGCCGTGGCTGTACTGACCGATTCCAAGGAGTCACTCACTCAGGGAGAGCGAAGTCGACCCGCTCAAGGGAACAGCGCTTCCATTCAACTTTATTTGCTCAAAGATTGCTCATGAACCATTAAGTATTCATTCAACAAATTGCAAATCAGGGGTATCAAATTGAAGAAATCAAGAGAATCTATTTTGCGCTATTTTGGCATTTTACAAACGTAAAAAGAGGTAGAAAGGCTACATCTCATAACTAGAGACGTCTGGTAATATACCATTGAAAAATTTGTTCATCGCTGTCTTCAGCAGTTCCAACTCATGTTTGTTGGATGTGACAACGTCATCGTTCAAACAAATTTGACCAGCCTTCTTGTTTTGTTGAAGATATGGCCTCAGCAAGACATGCTCAGCTTGCTCCGCATCTGTGATCATATAGAACATGGCATCCGGATTGACCACCGTGTACTGGAATTTGATCAGTGCTTTAATCACCGTCTCCCGCTGCTTGGCCTTTTGAACAGGGTGAGGTAAGAGGGGTTCCAGGCCGGCTCGTTGTCGGTTTAAAACCAGTTTGATCAGGCAATCGCCACAGCGTGGCGACTCACGCGTGATCCGATCAAATATTGCTGCTGTAGAAAACACGGGGCTGCGTGCTTCAGCATCGCTAGATGGTATGGAAAATCCCGGTGCCAAGCAGTCTTCCATATCGAACGCATCGCAGTCCAAATCCTTGGTCATTATCGGTCCGTCCAGAGACGTCCAGAGGATATCATTGTTAACAACTGGGGGTTTAAGTCCAGCTTGTTCAAGATAGTCCTGGACGTGGTAGTATATGCGGCGTCGAAATATTTCTGGGGTTTCGTTACTCAAACCCTCTGCTAGGTCATTCATGACATTCTGACGTTCATTCCAGTCCAAGTAGCCGTCATTGTTGTTGTCGCTTCGCATCATGATGTAGCTCCAAAGCAACGCCTCTCGGTGTCTCTCCATGGTGTAATGGAAGATAATGTACCACGAGTAGAGCTGAAAGCCAGTCTCACCTCGGAACCGTTGGTATGCGCTTCTCAAAGCTGGCCTAGGAAAACTAGTGATTGCCTCTCTTGCAATGCTCCTAGATAGAGAGTGACCGAAGTGCACTTGACCCTTGCGCTTGCGAGCACCGAACCGACGGTTTAGAAGCCAGGAAGTGTATATTAAGAAAGGCTTCTCTCCAAAGCGTTCAGCGTCTTTCTCTGTAGGAGGTTGTAATGTGTTGTATGCATTGGTCTTGAAGCCAAGAGTAGGGCCGAACAGTGGCGAATAGATATCGGACGCTGAATGGGGCTTGCCCAGAATCATATCGTCCGAGAGCGCAAACAGCTATATGACATTGGTATGATGCTAAGGGCTAGGATGAGGGATATTTGAGACTCACTCTGTCTACTTCGGACTTGGTGTTGTAGAGTTGGTTCTCGATAGTTAGAGAATCAAAACTCGGCAAACATTTGCGTTCCTCGGGTCCAAAAAACTCTTCCTGGCTAAGCACCTGAACCTTTCCCATATCAGACCTCAACCAGTGAGGCCATTGCTTTCCATACGTAGTTGGCGATGAATCATCCGTCTTGGCATTCTTGAATGCATTGACGAGAATCTGGATTCGGTTTGTGAAATGACCAGCGTATTTCTCGACACTGCGCATGGAGTAACGGAGCTCGTCCCACTCGCGATATCTGTTGGAGCCGTGCGATTTAATCCAGACTCCATCCGCGTCGTTTAGTGAAGAATTTAGTTCATAAGGCTTCATAGTCTCGGCCAACTCTTTCTGTGATCCATTTACCCCTGCAGATACAATTAGCAAATGAGAAGTGGTGTTTGTTGCAGTATTGCTCACATGTATACACAAAATCAATCCTGGGCTCGTCAAGCTTCGGACCTGAGTACTGCGCCTTCGAAATCCATTCATCTTCCCAACCCTCGAGGGCCACATCCTTCACGGAGACTTCAAACGGGACATGGTAGAGGTCTGGAAGCCCTTCGGCCTTCTCTTTAAGTTCTTCACATTGGTCCCAGCTAGGAAAGTCGTAATGCTCTGACCATGGTGTCTGGGTTTCCAATGTCCCAACGGGTGCCTGATTCTCATCGATATCCTGAGGCTGAGCTAAATTATCGGCGTCGTCCTTGTCCTTTGCGTCCATAATCGGAATTTGAGCATTTTCATTGGGTGTAAGATCTCCAGACTCGGATCCAGCATCATCGTCATCGTCAGGGTGGTTTAGTTTTGAAGCATGCTCTACAACGCCTTCGTCACGATGCTCTTCAATTTTCTCAATACCGTCTAGATCGTGATTTTCAGTGTCATCATCAGTGGTCAGCGCAGAGCCGCCCCCCACTGAGGATCCAGCGTTGTGGTTGTGAATGTTACGAGGTTGAGTATCAGGACGAGGCGAAAGAATGAGGTGAGGAGCTTCAACGTTCCGAATCTGCTCTAGGTTGGAGTGAGAATGACGGACGTTGATCCGCCCAGCGCGAGGCGACTCTGCTTCGATGATCGCCTCGACAGTTTCCGGCAATATGTTTGAAGTGGGGGGCTCCAAGTAGGCTTCTGAATTTGCCGATTTCCTCCAAGAAACTGTTATAGAATTCCAGAGACAAAAAACAAAGAAAATAATCAAGGCCCAAATGTACCGTCGGAATGAACGGCGTGACCTGTAAAGCACATTGCTCCGGCCAATCATGATGCGCCAAATGACTAAAAGGGACGATTCAAAGGGGCAGACATAGAGAGCGTGATAGAATGTAAAAAGTCGACAAAAGGTCAGACTGGCAAAGATCACGATGTGATTCAGCGTCTGTGTAAGGAAGAAATATAGTGTTCTGTGATGCGCTTGTCACATTGTTCATTTGCTATGTGGCGCGGAACTCTCGCAGTAGACCGAAACAGCCTGCACGCCTAAATCACGGCTCATTCAAAAGGGAGAGATCCACCTTTGGTGTTTTTTCTTCTGGATTAAGCGGATCTCCCGTTCAGCTCTCTTGCACTAGAGTACAATTGACAAGGATGCGAGGCCGATGCGATGTGATACTAGGTTAGCGCATGCTAATTTCCACAGGGGCACGTCGGGGTCTAGCGATCCCCACCACCAAACCACCCCGACGGGTGTATGATCCCCTGCGCGTCTCCACAAGCCGTCGCCTAGGCACAGCCATCGATATTTACACAGGATATGCATGTGTTCAATGTTCCGCGGGCTGGGCCGTTCGAATTAAGTTTCCAAGACGACTTGTTTGTCAGTGCACTTGATAGTGGGTGGTTTAGTATGTATTTTGCTCAAAACGTTGCCACGCTTACAACGCCGTCCTTCAGCGGCTGTTTTTGCTTTCACGGCAATTCCCCGAAAACCTATGTGCTTGTATGCAGGGGAATCTATCGAGACTTTTTACATGACACATTCAGCAAATAGCGTTTTTGTGCACCTCGGGGGCGATCATCAGTGTTCTCAGTTGTCACATTCTGTCATCTCCTTTAGCACTACTCTTTTTCTTGTCTTTGTTACTCTGGCCGTGGCCCGAACCGGGATCTATAGGATATGTCTGTGTCAGTTTCCGCTACTCGGAGGCGACAGCACATGCCGAACCTTACGAGATTTTCTAAATATGCGTTGGTTGTGTTTGTCGTACTTCTGACAATAGCACTATGGAAGCCATCAGAACTACCACCAACAATATCAGAATACCTATCGCACGATGAGGACGATGTCAAAGTGCAAGGGAAATTGCCTCATTACGAACATCATGACAGCAAAGACTATAAAGAAGGTGGAAGCAATCAATCACCACAACTTTCCGCCGATCTAGATTTCAAAGATGGACCAAGCTCATCCGAGTTGCTTCCAGCACCGAACAGCAAGCCTCCGTCCTCCAGCACAACCTCATTCCCTAGATTCGGTAAAATCACCGCAACATTTGGAGAGCCTGATCCCCCATATGAAAACGCTATAGCATCACACAAACTCCACAACAAACTCCATGGGTACCCGCACTTCATTCTGCGCGAGAAAATGCTCCGAGGTCTATGGTCGAAGCACGCCTACATCATGACTATCATCGGAAATGAACTTGCAAAGCCAAAAGATGAACGATTAGCCTGGGTCCTGTGGCATGATCGCGACACCGTGCTGATGAACCCGCAAATTCCTTTGGATGTTTTTGTTCCTCCTTCACCAGCATTCGACCATATCCACATGCTCGTTACGAATGACCGAAATGGCCTGAACAATGGGGTATTCCTGTGCCGGGTATCGAGCGCGAGTTTCAAGTTCTTTGCGAGCGCATTGAGCATCAGAGAGTACCAGCCCGAGATACCCTTGAAATATACTGAGCAGTCAGGAATGGAAGAGGTTATTAAACGTGTACGTTGACAAAAATCTCAATCCATCATCTTTTTTTCGTGCTAAAGAAATCACAGGACAGTTGGAATAATACTGTAGCATACGTCCCTCAGCGCTGGTTCAACGGCTTCCCACCTACCAAGAAGGATCTAGCAGCGGGCAAGCCATCTGCATCCCGTCCAGGGTCCCTACTAATTCACTTTGCCTCTAATCGTGATGGGAAGAGACCAGAGCGAATGGCTCATTGGAGCAAGATTGCAAAGAAGAGGACGGCTGCGTGGGACAGACCTTTTGAGGATACAGGGTACATGAAGGAAATCACGGAGTATTGGGATAGATTGGAGAAGGGCGAGAGTCAGCAGAGTATCGTTGAGGACATTGAGGGTCGTGTTTGGGATTGATGTGGAGTAAATTCCACCCACGATATGTTTTTTTCTACGCCACTTGTAATTGTGGCTCGTTGCCTCAGAATATCATGCTAATCATGCAGCCGTTTTAATACAAGAGAATCAGTACGCTCGAGGAAGATTAAGTGAGAAAGAAGTATGGGGTTCGATGCTACATGGTGCACTAAACCACACTTAGCTTACTACATGCATTCCCAGAACCCACATGCAGGTTCCTTCAACTTCTTCATTACTTTAATGTTCTTTCATGGCTACTTTCCATTGCATGTCTCCCATTCAGGCCACCAATTGTGCTACAAACTCTTCCGGCTCCACAGTAACTACCTCTCCCACTGGAAACTCAAATGTGGTTACATCCACCTCTGCCATCAAATCCTGAGCAGAGTCGACAGCCTGGAACTTGGTCTCCTGTTGCAACAACCCTCTCAGATTCAAACTCACTGGAAACACCGTATACTTACTCTCCCCTTTCTTTCGCAAAAGCTTGCCTCGGTGTCCACTATAATTAGACTTATCCACGTCATCTTCAACTTTACGATCAGAGTCCCTGTCCAAAGCTCCGATGCCACGATACAGTCCAAAAATCGTGGGGTATGCTCCCAGGCAAAAAGGCTCGGGCCAGTCACCATCGTGACGGCAGAGTTCTTGTATCGCGACATCAATAGGCCGGGCGTTTGGTAGCAGCGACTGGTCATACAGCAGCCTAGCCGCTCCACGGAGGGATAATGCATAGGCACCCGTGCCAGTCAACTTGTTTACCTCCATGATGATTCGTGTGTGCTTCCCCTGCAACTTTTCCGCGCTCAGATCCGGTTTACGACGAATTGTCCGCCGTGATTCCGATATTACCGTCGGATCATTATGGGTAACGTAGTATTTCCCAGACTTGTGTGGTTTATTGTTCACTCCGAGATTACCGAGGGTGAGCAAATTCCACGAGTCTCCGTAAGGGGAGTGAAGAGGCAACGTGCTATCCTGAATGGCCCGGACGCCGCGGGCAAAGGAGAGCATCTGTGATTTCAGCAGTACGTCCCAGTCTGCATCATCTTCGATGATAAGAGCTGATTGAACTTGATTTTGGACCATCCTGGAGGCTGTGAGAAACATACATGTGAAGCAGAGATTTAGATATACTTTTGGTAGACGTTCAGATGCGCGCGCCAACAACCGTACGCACCGAGGCCTTCTTCCCCTCTCCAGAACTGAGTAGTGTTAGATATCAAATAAAAGAATTTGTTACAAGGTCTTCATACAGCAGGAAATGCTTTCGGGTGCATCAACGACGCATTTACACCATCTACAAATTCGATATTGAGATGCGATACCAAAGCCATGAGGGCAAGATAATCCCGTTTATCGGGACGATGTGCCATGGAAATTGCATAGATTTTTTGGAACTGCTCTTGACGTTAGACTGAGTCACGATTACTCGAGCACATGTTTCTTACACCCAGAGTACTGTTTTGAGTATCCCAGATGGGGTCATCAGCGGGCTCAACCCTGGCTACCTTCAGCTGAGCAGTATTGATGCCTGGCGGTGAAGCTCTTGATGTACCAAATCCCATTCGTCTCGAGCCTACAGTGTGCTCGAACGCGCCCGATCCAGTACTGAAAGAAAGAAACAAGCCTATCGAAGCAAGGAACATAAAAGATATGGCAGCAAGGTGAAAGATCGACCTAGGAAAATACATCTTGAACCGAGTGAGTATCGATCAAGAATCAACGCTGCAGTCCTCATGCTTGGTCTACGTAAAGGGTACACCATATGGATGTCCAGATGTGCTTGAAGACGACAATGGGGCACGCGAGCAAGCTTGCTCGGCGAAGCCCCTTACCCATGCTTACAGTATTGGTGGCTGGCTGTGACAGGCCTGTCGCTTCCAGAATCGTGAGCTTTACTACTAGTCGTGCGTTAGCGCCAGGGGTTCCGCGGATCAAATCTTCGCCAATCCTCGCCTGTGCGCCGCCATGATGGACCCTTAATTTACCTCTATCTCTACACAATATGCGGACCTTACAGATTGGGCCTAAACCATAACGTAGCTGACGGGTGAGTTGCCTATGTCGCTTGGCTAACAGAACCAGAAACGACAGGGGTCTATATCTGTAGATGTACTTGGCGGGATGATTTGATCCCCTAACATTTACTGTGTATGTCAAGAGCACTGCGTGGGTGTAATATAACATGACTCGTTGCAGGTGTAAGAGTTGATTTTTGAGAATGAGAGACAGGAGCTTATTGCCTTTTACTATACACATGCCCGTAGTGTAGCAGTGCAAAATGAAGTCTCGCCTTCAGTGCCGACTTGGAAAAAAAAGGCTAGTTTCAAAGGTATCGTCAAAACATTGGTGTCAATCATCCGCGCAAATGTCTACTGGTGCAGTCCGATAGTTTTCGGTTATGTTGGGATCGGTGACATCCTCATCGTTGAAGTCTTGAAATCAAACGCTAGTCTAACGACATCATAAATGAAATTTTACTAGACTCAACTGCAGCATCTGGGGGCTTTGTTTAGGAGTCTATGAATCGACTAAACTGTATGCAGATTTTAAGGCCGGCGCAAAAAAAAGCTGTGACTTTGACGAATGAACTTCTTGACGAATACAATAATATAACCCTCCGGCCATCGATGAAGTTGAGACGGAATTAGTGGCCACAGTATCCAATATCATGACCTAAGGTCTGTCAGATAGTGAGCACTTGTAGAGAGTAATCATGATGCTATCGATGGATGCCTTTATTGCTAATAAGAATTGCGAGCTGAAGCTGAATAGTAGGAGTAGAGTCTTGGCGAAACAGGCAACCATCACCAGCCCACTGTGCACCCGACAAGACGAACATTTTCAACAAAACCGAGCAATTCATCTTCGACAAGGCGCGAAAGCAAAATGCTTCCTCAACAAGTCCGACTTTGCCTTCAGGCACTCCATATTAGCATCAACGAGTTTTCTACATTTGTAGCTTCTCGCGGTCTCGACGATGACGTCGTTGCTTCCGTCACAGCAGAAGGCGACCCCCGCCTTCAGGACACCCTCGCTCAGCTTCGACAGCTCTGTGAGATTGCAGAAGAGTGTATGTGCCCCTTGAACATTTATGGGGACTTTCTGCTAAACGAACTGCCAGTAGCAAATGTTCTCCACGAAATGCGTAGTCCCATGCAGACAGCAGGAAGCTGCAGCACTGTTACGTCACATCAACCTTTGGACATGTCTCAAACAACACAAGAATGCAAAAATTCAAACCAAGATTCTCCTTTCGAGTCTCGCTCCGTGGATTTTGGGCGCGACAAATCTCTTGAAAACCCGCCTGTCCCCAGCGTCATCCAGGTTCTGCCGCGCAAACTAGTACAACCTATCTCATATCCGGGGGATGCAAGCCTCCCTGCGATCGGACCTATTCTATCCAATGAACTTCCTGGAGCACCTCCACCCATCAATCACGCTCCCTGTGAAAAACCGTCAGCCTCTTGCATTGAACCACTAGATCAATTTGCACACTGTAGAATCTTGATAGCGGAGGATAACATGATCAACCAGAAAGTCATGTTGAAGTTCCTCAGGAGACTAGGACTCAATGATATCGTCACAGCTTCAGATGGTCAGGCTGCAGTGAACATTGTTCAAGAGTGCATGGATAGATACCAACCTTTCGACCTCATCTTCATGGATGATACAATGCCGGTCCTCAGCGGCCACGACGCCACGCATCTGATCCGCGAGATGGGGTTTCGAGGTCCAATATGCGGTATGATGGTCAATTTGAGGCTCGCCAATAAGCAGAAAGCTTTCGACGCAGGCATCACTACGATTATCCATAAGCCGTTCCAGCTTCGTGCTATTCGAGAGGTCCTGGAGCAGTACTTGACGCCTCTTGTCGAGGAGCTAGATGATACCATGCTATCGGGATGGGTTGACGATTCACCATTACCACGACGGAAGCCAGATATCAAGTCGAAACTTTGAGCCTATCTCTAGTCTTTTGATACATTTTACATGCTTCTTTCTGTCATCCATGTTTCAAAAAAAGCATACTGAAGCATAGCGATTGCGAACCTTAACAAATTTAGTTGCATAGTTCGTTTTTTTCTAGTTATTCAAGTCGTAGGGGGATGGAATTACCAGGAGTTGGTTAGGAAGGCGCTGCAATTCTATAATCCAATTACCAGTTTCCTTGACATTTCTTGGGAAAAAAAGAGTCGCGTTTGGCCAAAGATGATGCTGTGAGAGAGATGGTTGAACTCGATGGCGAATATCTTTTGCTTCATGGCTATTTGTTCAACTGAACCGCTAAATGCTTTAGCAAGTCTCACGTCAGAACTGCGTATATACTTATTTCAAGCAAATTCATCTTTGTTACACATTATTACCTATGCTAATGTTTGTTGCCTCGCCAAAATTGACTCATCTCGCGTGTGACGAAATCTTTTCTCGCTTGTTCCCAGGAGTTCGTAGTACAACAGGACTTAGCTGCGTGCGCATCATACAGAAACCTTAGTTGATGTCAAGGTTTTGTCGGAAGCTGAATATGTCACCGTTACACTAACCAATAGGAAAAATACAGGTGCACACTTTGTGGTTAGTGCTGACGGTATTACCCATGTGGTAAGGGACATGTCCAGCCACGAACAAGGAGCGATACATTCACGGCTAGGGTTACGTAAAGATACGAGTAGCCTTGCCCTTGAACAATCTTCAGGGATGGGACAGATAGAATCTTTGACTATTTGAATTTTGATAGGAGTGGCCTTACTGCACGTGAAAGCTTCAAGGATAAGACATGGCGCGAAAAAAAAGCCCCAGATGCCTTTGGGCAGGGAGTAGCTAACAAGCGTCGTACCGCGTCAGATTGACCAGCGTGGTGACAGTGCCACAGTGTCACTTGCGATACCACATCCTCGTAACCTTTTGCTGCCTCATCTTTTTCTGCAACTGAAAAATGCCATAAAGAAGAGCTTCGGCGGTGGGCGGGCAGCCAGGGACATAGATATCAACAGGCAGAATACGGTCGACACCGCGAAGGACACTGTAGCTGTAGTGATAGTAACCCCCACCATTAGCACAGCTGCCCATGCTTATGACCCACTTGGGGTCTGGCATCTGGTCGTAGCAAAGCCGGACAGCAGAAGCCATCTTGTTGGTGACAGTACCGGCGACGATCATGATGTCGGCTTGGCGAGGGGAGGCGCGGAAGATGATGCCCAAGCGGTCCTGGTCGTAGCGTGGCATGGAGCAGTGCATCATCTCGATGCCGCAGCATGCTAGGGCAAAGGTGAGTGGCCATACGGAGCCTTGTCGTGCCCAGTTGGCAACTTGATCGAACGTAGTTCTTGGGCGTGTGTCAGCCTCCTGGACGATCTATCCGGGCCAGGTGTGAGGATCGACTTACAAAACATATTCGACTGCATTGCTCGGCTGGGCTTGTGAGGGTAGAGGGGTGTTTGTAGGCAGGAGACTCTTGGACCCTGTATGCTTGGGGCCCTGGCTCTGGTGACGCCTAGCATTCACATGTGTAGCCGGTAGAAGTGATAGCACTTGTGGTGTTCTGGGAACCAAGGACAAGCGATGGGCAGCAACTTGATGTTGGTCGTCAGCTAGAACAAGTCAAGTGTGGAGAGGGGCAGTACTGTTGAGCATGCGTGTTGTTGCCATTAGAGAGAATGGAAAGATGGAAGGAGACTGCACAGGGAGGGGCAGTGGGTGATGGTTCAAGATCAGGTGCGGGAAGGGAGAAAAGTAAATCAAGTGGCTTGCCACCTTGCAATCTGTGCTTAGCTCTCAATCTGAGGAGAGAACCCAGAAAGGAATCTTGCAGTGACAAGGATTTATATGCACGTGAGGCATTGGGAGAGAATGGGAGTATACATCTGGAAAAAGAAGAAAATCACACATCAAATGGCCTAAAAGTGAGAGCAGAAAACTTTGCAGTAATTATAATGGTATTTGAGATGCACAAAGGGGTAAATTCATGATGTTGTGCGTCAGTGTCGATTCTGGTGCGGAGGAGCGTGAGGCTGAAGCGACTTAGGAAAAGTAGGAACCCAGCAGAACCGACCACGGGTTTTTGGGTGGGCATCGGCGTGTACCTCAACATTTTGTTCAGCCCTATATGGCCGGATATGGTATGTTAAGCGTGGGGACCGTGCCACGCAGGGGCATGCAGGATCCTTCGGTCTTGTAAAACGAGAGGCAGTGATTTGTTCATTACTAGCGTCGCTGCCGGCTCTCCCCGTCACAACCGTCATCCCCCGCTATCACTCGTTATGCTTCATGCCTCTTCACTTGCGTCCACTCCCCACCTATCATGCTCTTGCAAACTGACTTGACTTGGCTATGTAGCGTATGCGACAAGATGCACGCCCCTGGATACTCATTGTGTTAGTGGGCCTGACCAGACAGTGTCTCCCAATCACAAAGCGAAAATAACAGTCATTCACAGATAGATCGCTTCGCCAGTGCCAACACTGCATGAGCTGACATCACTGGTTCATCTTGATTTTTCCAAAATACTAACTCAAGATAGAAAAGGTGGGTAACGTGCTATTAATGTCTCCAAACGGTTCTCTGCTCCCTATGTGTATGTACTTACACTTCGAGATAACTGAGCAGCGCCCCAGTCGCAACACCAAATTTCAGGCCGCCCATTTTTTAGCAATGAATCAATGTCCTTCTCGCCCACCGCACATGGCATACAGCACATCTGGCGGGGACCGGTCCATCCACAGCACATAGTACAATGATATCGTATCCTCCCCACTCAAGCCCGGATAGTAGCAGGATGCATGTCCAACCATCTCTTCGTCGTTCTTGGGTGAGATGACTCACTGCATAAACAGCTACTCTATTACCGGAGCGCTGCCAGTCGTCTGTCTACTTACACTGCACAAGTCAAAGTCGTCCAGCCACCTGTGTCTCTGCGGAGCTTAACGCCTGTTAAAACTGCAGACAACCGGGCAAGCTGCTCCAGACCTCCACCGGAGGGATGATGCCATACTGAAAGTAGTTGTGGAATTGTTTATTACATACCCGCCCGAACTCATGAAGCATTATCGACTGTAATGTTCTTTTACCCAAAAGTATCATTCTACAACACTATTTTCAAAAGCCAAAGGGTATATGAAACGAGAAGACCAACATAATTCCAACAATCAATCCCTACTCAGGATATCAATGATCCAGTGGACCGCATCTTTGGCTTCCTTTAGCCCATACGGCATAGTGAGGACAAAACAATGCATTTGCTTCTCCCAATGAACCCACTCTCCCTTGACGCCTGATTGCGCGCATTTCTCGCGCAGTATGATACCATCGGGGCTCAATACATCATACCCAGCAGTGATGCCATGGACTTTGATGTTGCTCTTGGCTAGCAGCGAGATGTCTGCGTTAATGGGAGAAATCCGGCGATCGGAAGCATCCCAGTCACCACGCCACGCTTTTGCCGTTTGTCTAATGATCTTGGGTGTAAGAAGAGGGTCTTTGGGCGCAATCTTATCGATGTCGGGGTTTTTGCGCGTCAGGTCGATTGAGGCGCATACAGTCATGATGGCAATGGGATGTGGAAGCTGCTTCGTGTCGATTTGTTGGTGCTCGCTGTCTTCTCTCAGGGCCTCGAGAACAAGGCATAGTGCAATGTTTGCGCCAGAAGAGTCGCCCGCTAGAATGACTCTTTCTCCCGCCTTCTCGGCCTCTGTCATGAGAGCGCGATATGTTTTTAGGCACATGGGAAACGAACTCGGCGCGGGATTGTTGGGTGCAAGCGGAGTTGAGACAATGGAGACGGATGTATCGGTCATCTCTTTAGCCATCTTTGCGCATAACTTATAGTGTTGTGGTGAAGGCGGCTCCTGCCAGCTACCTCCCGCAAAGTAATATATCCGCTTTCTGGACGGCTTTTCAGGTCTATTCGGGGGTATTATGTCGTATATGTACATGTCGCAAACGGTGTGTTCGCGGAGTGTGCATCCACTCAGCTTTGACTTGGACGGGTTGAGTCGGATGGAGCCATCCTCGTGCTTTAGTGTGCGATTTCCAAGCTGAGAACGCATCAGTCTGACCAGCGACTGGACGACGAACATGAGAAGAGTACGGTCATGGCGGAGGGAAACTTGGATGGACGAGCCTGGCTTCGTCGCCCCATTGGGAAGTTCATCGGATTCCATGGTGGTCGTTTTTGGTCTTTAGAGTGATACGAGAAGAATGTGAAAGGAAGCCCTGAAGCAGAGAGTCAGCATGCAGGGTAGGAGACCACTTGTATGCATCCAGGCTAACCGTAAAGTGCACCCATCATCGATACCTAGAAATTGTGCATTTCTCACGCGACAAGCGAGGCATTGATGGTAAAAGGGATCAATGACGTTGTGGCGTGGCTTCTGAAGATCGATTCGGGAGCCCTAGACAGGCTTGGGAAGATCTGACATGTGTTGGCGATCTGCACCTAACAAGACAGCAATGTGAATGTGAACTGATAAAGGCAGCGCTGCACATTTCAACACGAGTTTGTTCTAGAACTTCCATAAAGGGGAAGCTAGCCTGGAAATTATTGCCGCATAGTCGAGATGCGGGTTGCGTTCCAATCAATTCATGATGTTGCACGACACCATGCCGCCATATCCACGCCAAGCCAGGAAACACTCCCCAATTTTGCGCCGCCTTTTGGGCTATTCCAATGGTCAAATCCAACATGACAACTCATCTTGCTGTGCACCATTGCTACATGGCATGGAAATACAGAACATACTATGCGCGCCAACAACCCCCATTTCAATTTCAATGGCCATTGTGATACGCGTCCACGAGGGCGGATCTGAGCAGAAATGACGTAGCACACTTGGGTTCCAAACGACAACCCGCACTACACATGTCGTTGAACCCTAGGCCAACGATCTTTCCTACCAAACCTTTTCCCTGCCTTACCAGCTTCTCTACATGCGGTGTCTCACCGACAACATGTGGCTAGTGCACTGGCTGGCGGAGACTGATCAGTTACATCTGACGTGGAAAACAGCCCACTCAAGCTGGGCAAATTTCTTGGTCTCGAGCGCTGAGTGGCAGTGCAGCAGGCGGAAATTGCTCCCAGAACCGAATCCCGCTCGCTAAATGTGCAACTCCCATGGGACTGAGCCGGTTCCGTCTTGGGTGTCTTGTCTTTCTGGGCTTCCTTCGTTCCATTTCGTCTAACTGGCGACACTCCACCTCGTTAGCATGTTTAGCAGTATCAACGCCTTGGCTTACGTGGGTCGACCAAGACTTGCAAAACAATGGACCTTATCGGGGAAAATTGTTAAAGATGAACAACGCCAGATAATGCATATACCAATTGATTGACAAGTTCCAACTGCGAATCCATCAACTCGCCTACCACGCGACGTCATCAGTCAATGGCTTCGCAAGCCTATCTCACGGACGAGGAAATTAAGAAATTCATTGACGATCTCGACCACGACAAGGATGGCAGCATTAGCTACTGGGAATTGGAACGAAAGCTGGATCAGGTCCACAACGAGATAGCCCCGAAAGCCCAACCGCATAACCTTCACCACAAATCTCGTGGCGATGAAGCTCGACACGAGTTCCTCAGGCAAGTCATTGGGACGCGCGAGGACCACATCAAGCGCGATGAATTTGCAAGGACCGTGAAAACATGGGAGATTCCCTCGCTTGAGGCCGATCGGAAAGAGGCAAAAGAGGAAGACGACTACCTGAAGCACATTTCGCTATACCGGCGAGCACGAGCCTACTGGGCTGTCAAAGGGCCCGAGATAATTTTCCTGGCAATTGTGCTCCTGCTAATGATCGGCTTTGGAACCTGGCAATTCGTCAAATATCTTACATTCGACCAGTACAAACCTGCATTCGGATGGGGAGCTGTGCTGTCAAAGACGTGTGCGGGCGTGCTGTATCCGACCTTCTTTTTCCTCATTCTCTCCATGTCCAGGTGGCTATCGACATTCCTCCGGCGCTTCTACTTCATTTCGAGATTCATCAACTGGGACCTGTCCCAGTCATTTCATATCAAAATCTCCATTGTCGCACTGGTCTTTGCGACTCTGCACGCTATTGGCCATCTCAGCGGCTCCTTCGTCTTTGGTAGTATGGCGAGTCGACAAGACGCGGTTGCCAACGTCCTCGGAGCAGATGCTGTACCCCGCTCATATACCGATTTTCTACGTTCTCTGCCAGGTTGGACCGGTCTTACGTCCCTTGGACTTTTCTATCTCTTGGCAATAATGAGTATGCCTCAGATCCGAAAGTGGAGCTATGAGGTCTTTCAACTAGGCCATTTGCTCATGTTTCCCATTATTGGCTTCATGATGGCGCATGGTACTGCAGCCCTTTTACAGTGGCCAATGTTTGGATACTGGCTTGCCTTCCCCACGCTAATGGTTCTCTTTGAACGTGTTTGGCGGTTGTTTCTAAGCTTCCGTCCGATCAATGCTGACATCGAGCTACTGGACGATGAGACTGTCGCTATCACGGCAAAAATTCCCAAGACTCGCCCATGGGACTATAAGGCTGGCCAATATGTGTTTGTGCAGATTCCGCAGTTGTCCCGATTCCAGTGGCATCCGTTTACGGTATCGACATGCATCAAGAACACCATGCAGGTTCACATCAAGGCCGACGGCGACTGGACGAACCAACTCCGTGACTTGGCTAAGCAAGGAAGTAAGCAAAACATCAAGATTGGATTAGATGGCCCATTTGGTGCACCTGCGCAGCGATTCTACGACTTCGAGTACAGCATGGTCTTCGGGTAGGCTGAACACGCCCCATATTCATGCGACCCAAATGCTAACGCTTTACAGTGCTGGTATCGGCGTGACACCCTTTTCCGGAGTACTGACCGATCTACAACAGCATGAACTCGAACGAGTCAAGTCTAGCGAAACCTCAGCTGAGCTCTCCGATGACACACGCCAACAATCATCACCTTACAACAATCATCGCCGAGTCGATTTCCACTGGATGGTTCGCGATAAGAACAACCTGCTCTGGTTCTCTGACCTTTTGAATGAAGTCTCCCGGACAGGACCCAAAGCCCCAGATCTTGACATCCGCATCAATACGTACGTGACACAGAAGCGCAAGCAAATCTCCCAACACGTCTTCAGGTGGTTATTGGAAAAGCACCGCACACCAGAGTTTCCACAGTCACCTATCACCGGCCTTGTCAACCCTACACACTTTGGACGGCCAGACATCCGCGGCATCATGGAGCAACACTATGATGATATGAGCAAGGTGTTAGCAGAGGGACTGGATGACAAGAACCAAAGCAGAAATGACGAAGTCAAGATTGGTGTCTTTTTCTGTGGTCCGCCGGTGATTGGTCAGCAGATTGCGGATCAGTGCAGTATGCTGAGTGCGAGGGCGCGCAACGAAGGGAGAAAGATTGAATATCGATTCATGATTGAGGTCTTTGGTTAGATTGTAGTTATAGTAATTTAGAAATATCGAAAAATCCCTGTTCATGCGAGTCTTGAATACATTACTCCCCCCCTCCCCTTTTAAAGAGAAATACTAATTCTCTGTTTCTTTGTGAAAGCAATTCTTCCAACCAGACGAAAGGGAGGTTGAAAAACAACAACATGTGAGTTTTTGAACCTCCCCGAGTTATCGCAAGGGCACGTGCGCTAAGTACGTAGCGCCACTAACTCCGCTGCATTAACGCCGACGTCTCGGAACGCAACGCAACCCTCCACACCTACACTCACTCACCAGCTAGACAAACATTATCCACAACCACAAACCCACCCCGACCTTCTCTTCCTACGTCCCTCTAAAAAAAACCTACTTCTTCTTCTTCTTCTTCTTCTCCACCAACCACTCTACACTCCCGATCTCCCCCCAGTTCACCCCACCACCCTCCGCACATCCTCCCCGGCAACCCCCCACCCACAGCAACCATGGCCTCCACAGCCGCCAAGCGCCTCTTCAAAGAATACCGCGCCCTCTCCTCCGACCCGCCCGAGGGAATCACCGCCGGCCCCGTAAACGAAGACGACATGTTCGTCTGGGAAGCGCTCATCCAGGGCCCCGAGGGTACACCCTTTGAAGGCGGCGTCTTCCCCGCCGAACTACGTTTTCCCAAGGATTATCCGTTGGCGCCGCCGAAAATGAAGTTTATTACCGACATGTGGCATCCGAATGGTACGGAAATTCCCCCCTTCCCCCCCTCTTTTTTGGTTTCTTTGCTTTTTTTGCTTTGCTGTTTGCCAAAGGCGGTCGGGGACGTGTTTGCAAGGGGAAAGAGCAAAATAAAACTGACGTTTGGCCCCCGTTTTTCTTTTTAGTTTATCCAAATGGCGAAGTCTGCATCTCGATTTTACATGCGCCTGGTGAGGATCCGATGCAGTACGAGCAGGCGTCGGAGCGGTGGTCGCCGATACAGAGTGTGGAGAAGATATTGATTAGTGTCATGAGTATGTTGGCGGAGCCGAATGACGAGAGTCCGGCGAATGTGGATGCGGCGAGGATGTGGAGGGAGAAGAGGGGGGAGTATGAGAGTATTGTGAGGGCGAATGTGAGGAAGAGTTTGGGGTTGTGACATGGGCATGGAGAGAGGTCTCTCTCTGTGTGTGTGTGTGTGTTTTAATGGATCATGGGTTATGAATGCATATTGTCCGCACAGGAGTTGGATTGAAAAAAATGGCATTATCTTTCGATTTGTTTTCGCGTGTGGTGCGATTGATGATTTATGCGAAGCTTTTGATTTGACAAATTAACAGTAATAAGAACAATAACGCCAGTGTCCCGCTTCCCAAATCCATCAAGATATTCTGTCGCCTTTCCTGTCATGATCTCATAGTCTTTCAAACAATCTCCAAATCAAACGCCTCGCCATAGCCGTTGTAGCACACACCCCGGTAATTCCATGCCGGACACTTTTCCTGTATGTTACCACCCCGATCTGTGGCACGGCTGTAAATTGTAACACCACTGCCCTTGTCAATCTTGACTCTTGCTTTCCATAATGCCCATGCCCACTTGAGCTCGACGTTTTTGGTGTCTTCGCCCTCGTACTCGTTAATCAGCTCGGCCTCCTCCCACGACTGCCCATCATCAACGCTAACTTCAACCTTGACAATGGGACCGTCTGCTCCACTGGGTAATGCGTAGCCCTTGACTTCGATTGTGCCTTCTGCATCTCGTTGCACGGTAGTTCCAGATTTTGGGACACCGACGACGCTGTTGACTGGCATTTCCTCGATGGAACTCACTTTGCCCCACCATTCTGCTGCCTTTTCTTTGCAATCCGCCTCAGGAGGCAGGATCTTGTAGTCTTTCTGCTGGTAGTAATTTTGGCTCTCGCACATTTGAACGGATATCTGATCGAGCCACTTGACGCACCTGGCGCCAGCGATGCCGGGAGTGACAACGCGAACAGGGGCGCCATGGTTTGGCGTGAGTGGCTTGCCGTTCATCTCAAGAGCAATCATAATCATATTCTCTGGATTCATCGCCCGTGAAAGCGGGATGCTGGCGCCGTAGTAGCTGTCGTCTTGCGTGAGCGTCTGGAAGCAAGAAAAAGCGACATGGGCTTCGCTCATTTTTCCTTCTTCAACCTTTACACCGGCCTTGTTCAGGACGTCGCTGAGGAGAGGCCCACTCCACTTGCAATTCATGACTGCGCCATCATACCAATCTATGCCGTTGACTTCCTTCAGTTTCGTTCGCATGGTATGGCGACGGTTTCCAGCACACTGCAGCGCACTCACAACATGGTGCTGTGGAAGTGCCTGGAGATCTGCGATGGAAAGCGAAATCTCATTGTTTACGAGTCCAGTAACAACTACTCGGTGCGTATCAATGTCGATGTACGGAATGGGTCCATGGTTGCGATCGTAGCAATCTTGTGTGATGAAACTGGACCCACCGTTAGCCCCCGGATTCACTCTTGCTCCACTGCGCTTGCGGCTATGTAAAAGTACCTCTGAACGAGCTTGTCAAGCTCCGGCTCGCGATTTAGCGGCTTTTCGACCGAGTGTACAAGCTATGACATCAGAGTCAGCCCTACGCTTCGTATAGAGATGGAAAGCCCAGTCTGGCGTGCAAACTAGGTAACATAGTCTGCCGTTTTGGGCAAATTTGATGGCAAAAACGGGGCGTGTACCTGAACCATGGTGCTCGATTGTGGTATGGCGGCGATGGCGTGATTGAGTGATGGAAGGCCTAGACGAAAAGCAGCGGGATCGCGCAGGTATAAGCGACGGCCATGGGGGCGGGGTAACGGCGGCTTCGGCTTTTTGGCTGGCACCACGTGTTGGTGTAACGAGGCAGGCGGAGGGGCGGTGAACGGGCAGCAGCGGTCTGGGGACCTTGCTTGCTTGGAGGTGCACAGGTTTGGGTGGAAAGGCGGTCGAGGATTTATTGAATCCTGCACGATATGCTTTCATCCGCGTCATGGCGCTGGAATGGCGAGTGATTTTCGTATTATCGGGGTCCGCACGGTTGTTTCAGAATTGGGCTTGCCCATCTGCTTTTGTAGCGTCACTACGTACGCAATCGCCGTTATTCACTTCGGGGATTAGCTAGTTTCGGCGTCTACGTCACGTCGGGGACTACTCGAGGACCACGCTCAATGGCCATGTTATAACATTTCTTGAACGCGTACTTTTTCTTGTCGTATAAGTACTCACTTATCAAAGCACATTCCTTCTGCAACATCCCGATGACGCGGCCCTTTTTGTATATCGCCATTGGTTGAACCTCCTCTTGCCAGTGGTACATGCATACATCCCTATCCACATTACACCCCAAGAACGTCTCGAGACTAGGTGTATGCGCATGAGGCCCATCTATTCTCTCCTCGTGCTTATTTTATTGGCTTCTGCGCTGTAAAAGGTCTGACCGCTATCTTGAGGCAGAGCACTGGTGCATCCGCCGCGGGTCAATCCTTACATATGTTTGCATCTTGTGAGATGTTGCGTCTCGCTGTCTCGTCCTCGGACTTATCAGCCCGTTGGAAGACTTATCGGCCCTGGTACTGTTCTGCTTTTTGCACCCCTACAATCTGGCACGTATAAGCCATCGACAAAGGGAAGTGGTGATTCCGACTGAGCATCTTCATGGGCTGGGAAATCCTGATACTCCTGTATCTCCCGCTTGGGCAGGCCCCCAGCATCCGCACCGTCAATTCTCATCAATCCCCCCTCCATGACCTTCCCTATCCCACCTCATCTCTTATCCGCTCTCTCGTTGTTCTCTTTGCTCTAATTTTCTTCCCCTTTCCAAACCCTCCCACAAACCATCCTCCACACCGCACACATATACCTACTCAACATCAACGCATCTAACCCCTCTTCTTTCCTTCTTCTCTAGCCCCAACATCGCAACTATCCCTCGGACCACGGTGAGCATCTTCAACTACGACGAGGGCTAACGAACAAAATCACCACACCCAGAACAACAAGAATGAGGAGAAAAAGGACGATTATGGAATTTGGTATCCTTGCACGAATTATCCTTCCATGATTTTGGTCTTGGGTAACATCAAGGTAGGTATGTGCTATGCTGAGTTACTTGATTAGAATTGCAGAGTCGATGTTTTTTTCTAAGTGTGAATGTGTGTGGAGTGCCGTCGCGTTGCACTCAGAAGTGGGGTATAGATGCGTGGGTGAGACCCAAAAAAAACTTTGTTTGCGGTTTGATTATGTTCGTTGGTAAGAAATTGGGAAGAGCAGCTAATCGCGAGGTAGTTGCATGCTGCGGTTGTAGATTCGATGATGAAAGGTCATCTAGACGAATGAAGCATGTTACAAATCGCGAGCTAATTAGCATGCTCGAAATGCGCTGGGCTAAGTCGTAGCAAGACAGTTGCGTTTACTCATTATGCTGCGTTTGGTTGAACACGAATTGCATTTCCAGACAAACGAAAAGTAATAACCTGGCATTGGCACCTGAGTATCACATCCGTAGACGGTTACCAAATCAACAGCCCTTGGCTCGGTTGGGTCGGAAGTAATCAAAAAGGGAATACCCATAGTCGAAATAGCCATACTAAGACCTTACCAATAACTCACTCAACCAGCCCGAACGGCACCCTCCTCGACCATCACATGTCCATCCCCTGGCCATCCATCTCCTCACCCAAGTCATCAATATCAGATGAGTGCCAATCTTCAACATCGCTCTCTTCCAGGAATATCTTCTCAAAGCTCGCATCACCCCAGTCAGCTTGCTCCGTCGACTGCCGCAGAGCCATCTCCCTAAATTCATGATAGTTGTGCTGGATAGCATGCTGTGACAGTTCATAAGGAGACTGGAACCCATTCCTGGCTTGGGCCATCGGCGCTGTGTGAGTACCAGGGTGGCCGATTCTAAACGAGTAGTTTCCATAGTCAGAGCTAGAGCTAGGCGTATAAGGTGTAGATGGCGGCGTTGGATACGGTTCATTCCTTAATCGACCTGGCTTCTCGTAGATCATTTTGTCAGACTCATTTTGCAGCTGAGAAGATGGAGAATATGTTTTGATTGATAGAGCGGGCGTATTCATTGAGATTCCGGAATGGCGCGTCTCGCGTGTGCAAAACTTGTCATCAGGTGCGTCATCCTGCCTTGATTGAAGCATAACATGTGATAGGCTTGTAGGTGGTGATTCAACCTGTTTATCAGCCATATCCGTCTTCTCTAGCTTTCGGCGCTTAAGCTGAATATCGGTGACACTATGCATGCGGTTTTCGTCGGGGCGGGTAACCTTGTCTTCACCCGATGAATTCATGCGCTTTCTTGGTGCTTTTTGGCCAGTTTCCAACTCTAAATCGTGTACGTTGTGCATCGAGGCACCTGAGGCAGCGGGTTCGGCGTAGCCCTTCCAATAGCAGCACTCGCTATCGGGGTCGGGACTGCGGTCCACAAGCTTGATCAGAGAATCTGGAGGAGAAGTATGAACATGCCGACAAGCATGAGACTGAAGAGAGCTGGCTCTTTTGTGTGCTCGTATAACCAATGCCGGTGTAGTCGATGCTCCGTGGATTTCCGTCACCGAATCAACTTCTCGAGCGTGTGCCAGTTGAACGTTGATGGCGTACCGCGATGTACGTTCAAAACGCACATTTTCCGGAAAGAGTGTGATGATCTTAGCTTGTATTATTGTTTCCAACACTGTTAAATTGTTCCCCTATAGTCAGTGGTCAGCAAAGCCAATGGAGTTGCCATATCCTGGAGAGTTTCATCACACCTCCAACCTGTCTGGAGCCTGCATGCAGGAGAGCTTGGCCTTTTGGTCCCATTTGGCTACGGAGGAAGATTTCGTCACAACATATTTGACGCAATCAGGAAAGCTTTTGCATCCCGATATTCCAGGTTCTTGGAAGATCTGGTGGCGGTAAGAAGCAACGATACATTGAGCTTCTGGCTCTTTCTGGGAAGAGGCAAGCTTGAAATCGAAGGCAGGGGGTTGCCAGGCTATATCGGCAGTAACAGCGATCAACGGAAAAGAAAGCCAATCAACTGAACACTTGACGAACAAGCATGGTCCAGCTGGAGTGTTCTCAAAGCAGTCTTGCATGGAGATGTAATTGTAGACAAAGGTATGAAGATCGCCAGAACCAAGCGACCAGTGGAGGTTTCGCAGAGCAGATTGGCTCGTACACTCTTCGTAGAAGGCATCAATCATGTCATGAAGAAGACGGAAAACATCGATATTGATGAAGCATGCGTAATTCTCGGGAAAGAACTGGATGAGGCAGGGAAGAAGGGAAACTTGGTCGACATAATCTAGTTTAGACTTAGTAGAGGTTACAACAAGGTAGAGGACCTGTCAGTGCAATGGAGCTAAGCTCATTTCCATTTCCAGTCCCAGTATAGAGTAAATGGAAACATCTCCAAGAACACATCATCACCTTTGCGTTTGCTCAATTGAATAATGACAGTGCGTCGTAAGCGTTCTTCAATCCGCGGGACTAAGCACTGGTGAAATAAAGACTCCCAGAGCGCAAGCTCTCGAGCTTGCATGTAAGACATAGCCTTCCAGCAAGATATCGTATCGAGATGACTGACAGCTGTTCCTAATCAGCACCGCAAAGCCCTGCATGTGATCTGACATAAGCAAGATATACGCACCTTGCCGCGTGACTTGTGACTTCCGTAGCCTTGGTTGGTACATCTTGTAAGGTGGTGCGTTTGGATTTGCAGCGAGGCCGCGCATCTCCACGTCAAAAGTCACTTGAGCCAAGAGGGCTACTATATGCGGGCTCGCCACGGTCGTCGTAACTGGTGATGGATGAGTATGGCTGTCAGCGCCGACAGTCGGGTGCAGCTGCGACTAGGGAAGTCAGTAATGCTCGCAAGGTGGGACTGATATGCTTACAAGAGGTTCGGTAGACATGGTGTATTGCTACGAATCAATAGATGCGTGGGAATAATGCGGTGGTCTGAAGATGGGCAACTGGTTGGGGAGCGGTAGTGCTGGTGGTCTGGGATTGTGCAGACGTTGGAACTCCTTACAGGTAGGCAGCCACGAGCGCCTTCCACTTATACTGACTGACACACGTGCAGCACCCGCAACAACAATGGAACGCAGATGGCACCTTCCCACCTTCTGGTGCGGTGCATGTACCACACTGGCCCGTCTATATGGCGTCCATGGAAGCACGCGTGGTGAGGCGTTCATTCTTGTTACCCAGTTTGGATATCTGGAGAAAGGCATCAACCCCATAGCCTTCGAGGCTGTGTATTTCCAGGCTTCCAGCCCAATATTCTAAAGACAGTCAGACATATCGAAGTGAGCCTGTCGTTATTTGCTTACCTGCATACAGCCGCGACATTGGAAGTCCGATGCCGAGACGGAGATCTGGCGCACGAGTGGTAAGCGAAGATAAAGAGCCAATGTGTTGGCCCGAGTCGCCGTATTTTGATCGCGTGTCTTGCTTTTGCTGTATCTCTGCGGCAGACTCAGCGCCAGGCACTTGCAATTCCTGCAGCGTACCGAGGAGCTTTGGTACCCTCGCCAGATTTTCCATTCGCCTCTCGCGTCGGGGCCCTTTGCTAAAGCTCCACAAATAAGGCAGGACCTCGTTCGGGATGCCGCCACCTTGGTCAGAAATGCGGATGATGACGTGCTGCGAAGTCTCGCATATCAAGACTTCAATGGGTGGCAGGTTGGTGCCTTTGGATTTGGGCTGTTCAATGACGGCCTGGATTGAGTTACGCAGCAATTCACCGATGATGTACTCGAGATGGCTCAAGATGTACGGAAACGTCGCTCCGACATGGCCGTAGACTTTGATTTCAGGGATTGCCACATCGGGGCCATAGGTGCGTCTGATCAGCTCGCGCATAGTCGCTCCGCAGTCTTGAACAATTTCCTTGGCATTGCATCGCAAAAAGATTTCGCCAACGGCTTCTGGATCATGTGGAGGGTGCTTGGCCTGAGGGAAGTGCCAGGGCGAGTTGAAGGTCTCGGTGAGAGCAAGGTGTTGTTCTGCGATGACTCTTCGAGATATGCGCTGATTTGCGTCAGTATGGTTCGAGTGCGCGTGTGAAGGTCAAATCATACGGAGCGCAGCATGGTCGTCATGAACTTGTCGGTTTCCTCTGGCTTGATGAGGCCTCGCACCTCCAAGACGCCTGTTGCGAGACGGGGTATGACGGTCGCGTGCTCGGTCAACGTCTCCTCGAGCACCTTGCAATACTTGTCATTGTCTTGCAGCGAGCGTATTTCGGGTATGCGACGAAAGCGCTCAAAGGCGCGCAAGTAGGATTCGTAGACATGGGCAAGATGGGGATTGGCGACGACGACGTAGGGCAGGGTTTGGATATCGCGAAGACGATGGGCGAGCCTGCAGAGAGTCAACAGGATGTTCTGGCAGGCAGGGCGCCATGGTACGACCTGGTGGGGAGCTCCAATCTACAGTAGTTGGCCGAGTCAAGCAGACGAGACTCGGTGAGGGTTCTTCCGAAGAAAGTCAACTGGCGCAAGCTTATGGGCCTGGCTTCACGCTGGACCCATCTGTAGGCGGGCATCAGCTCTGGTGGACATAGGACATGAGTTGCTGGTACGCAGCTTACTCGTCGAGGGCCGAAGACGGTCTCCATGCAGGCGCAACGGCTGCAGCATGCTGAGCGCGAGCTTGGGGTTGGGCCGGGGAAGTTGGGCGAGGGATTCTTCGCAAGCCATGGTAGGAGCGCCGCACAGCCGGTGCGAGA